GTTATGTGTATGTAGATAAGGACGTCGGGACCCGCACTCCGGATCCACTACTACGGCGATACACCATTTTAGGATAATTTTAATTATTCAGCATTACAACAATGTTATGAATTATAGATTAACTTTATTATGTTATATCTATGTTTCTTGGAGTATTTCCACTTTCGGGTAGTGACATGGTAAGCGGATGGTCTTCGTAAGTCAATAAAACCAGAAATTTTAACTCAGAGCGTATATTACGCAGGAGCGTTCTGTCTGACACGGCGACTCGCTCGCTTCTCAGCTCGAGAGACAACAACTGAGCGTTTTTATAGCGAGGTATCGTGGTGGGACGATGTATTCTACGACTCTTATCTTGCACGTGTTGTTTTCGATGAATGCTGGCACCTGTTGTTTGTCGTCCCATCTTTATTAGTCATGAACTAATGGTTTATAAAAACACGCGCCGACATATAAGCCTTAAAAAATCCTGTATTTATTTATTATTTGCACAAAAGCCATAAAGTACTGTCGCGAGAGGCCTGTGTGTGCCTCACACTGAACGCGTGCTGTATATATATTGGAATATCAAGAGAAGATGGAAGAGCAAACATCGCGAGCCAACACGAGCGAATCTCTGATAACAATCATTGAATATAATATGGTCCATATGGACCGTTCAAATACAATACTTGTACCGAATCCGGCTAATACTATATTATAGGTATTATCTATGTTTCTCTCTCTCTCTCTCTCTCACACTCTTTTTATACGTGTTCTCTCTATTCTTTTATTAAATAAGAAACGAAAACAAAACAATTATATTATGTTGGCTGTAGAGTGTACACATCTTATATGATATCATCACAGAGCAACGTTCCTTCTTTGTACCACAGGCTCGAGTACTGGCACGGGAGCTGTAGGCGACCTGCCGGGCCAGCATTAGACCAGTCATTTCACGGGGAGTGAACATCGCCCCCGCCCCCGCCCCCTGCCTCCCCGGAGACCCTCGCACGCTCTGACCCTTACAGGTTTTGTGCGTTCGACCGAAATTATCCGACCACGTTAATTAAAATACAGATAATTATAAATGTAGGTATCGTGATCGTGATAGGTACTCATCGGTACTTCGGTACAGCGGTATACTTAGTTACATTGAAGATACAGAAGGCGCCATGATATTAAGTGGCAAACGGCCGTGGCTTGAGGTCGAGGCCCATTCGCTGGACACACAANTACAGGTTTTGTGCGTTCGACCGAAATTATCCGACCACGTTAATTAAAATACAGATAATTATAAATGTAGGTATCGTGATCGTGATAGGTACTCATCGGTACTTCGGTACAGCGGTATACTTAGTTACATTGAAGATACAGAAGGCGCCATGATATTAAGTGGCAAACGGCCGTGGCTTGAGGTCGAGGCCCATTCGCTGGACACACGAACTCCGGACCAGGTAGTTGTAGTGAAAACCGATCCGCCGTTGAGAATGCACTTCTCAGTCAGCGGAGTGCTCACACCAAGCGTGTTGCCAACATCCACACGCTCTGGAGTGCTAGCTGATTATGAATATCATTCGTATCCGATACTATCATTTGTTGTGTCCCGCACTGTTTAACAGCGACTACTGCTGTGAATATTGATGATTCTAGAACGACATGACTGGGCTGTAACGGTCACTATATCGGCTAGAGCGAGCACGCGTCGAGGAGTTCGCCGACACCTCACACCTCGCAACCAACGACCGACGACCGACGATAGATATTATCAACAATCAACATTGATTGGTTGTGTTGTCAGACGTGTAGAGCTGAGCTGACTAAGTCTGTTCCTGAGCTCAAGTAATGGAACCGAACTCACAATGGATAATGTTAACATCAGTCGTGTACGAGTATAGGGTATCCGTGAGATAGAATGGCTCAACGGTGTGCTGTGTGAAGAGTTCATGCCTACTCGCACGATTTACAATTGATGTTAAGTTGGTGTAGAGATAACTACAGGACTAACCATAGCAAACAGTGTATCACAGCTACTAAATAAGTATTAAGAAATACCCTGTCATATTTAGCTACAGTTTTACCCATTTTTTCTAATTAAGATCGTTATAAGTTTGTGTGTTGCGTGTCTCTTGTTCTGTCAATGTCAATGTTCTGTTAATTAAGCGCGTACAGAGAGATACGGGAATCGATCCAATTATACGTGAATCGAGTCAAAGGTTCAGTCGATGAAAATGTACAAAAGCGAACTACGCGCTGTTGCTGGTAAGTAAATATTGAAAAAGTGTAGAGAATAGCGGCGTCGGTTCCGCAACGGAGGTGAGCCGCCTCCTACAATAAAGAGCACGGAGCGGCCGCCGAAGCCCGCAGAACTTTTCTCATTTCCCTGTCACCCCACGTGCGGAGATTAGTAATGCGACTTGTTACACAATACAATTAGCTTCACTATTGTAAAATCTAGAGTCATTTCTATTAAACAACACACGGCCTCTTGAAGCTGGTCGTCGTTCGTTGCCGTGCTCTAGCAGTCTACTTACTTACTCTACTCTTCTTACTTCCTGTTGCTCTAAAAACTAAACAAAAAAATGCAGGTTTTAAATAAAGAGCAGCTGATTCAACGAGAATGTAATGAAAGTAGTCGGAGCGGAGGGCCGCGCTCCGAGTGCTACTCCTTTTTGATGACGCGAACAGCACATGAAGCAGAAAGTATCTTTAAAAAAAATGCGCCTTCAAGAATAATTGCGTCAGCATTTAGGTAGGTATACGTAACGTGGTTCTACGTGAATTTTCATATTATCTGTCTCTATGGTTTGCTGGTATATATTTCGCGACAAAATGTGATTTTAATAAATAAGTTGTCAACTTGGCGGTGTTCATGCTTTGTTATTGTTATTTTCTCAGAGAGATGAAACGATTCGCTGTTTTTTATTTTTCATTATGAGAAAACATACAATTTAAGAAGAGCGAGATTGAGAAAATAGACAGGACCCGCAAATCATGGCTTAAGGGCGTCGGCCACTAGATGGCTTGTTATTAGTTTCTAATTGGTCCTGTAGATGGCAGTAACATATTAACTATCTTATATTTAATTTGTAATAAAGTATTTTTAAAAATATGTATAGGATCAGGGGTAGATATTATTTTGTTGAACACCAAGTAAAACGAAGTCACTTTTTGATTCCTGATTTAATCAACAATATGACAACTTGATTCACTTTAACACTTATCCAACCTTAACCAGTACGTACAACAGTCACTTAATCACACAATGTAACAAGGATATAGTAAGTGCACCGGGCAAACGCAGTCGAACGAATGTCCATTGCGAGGCACATACCGCCTTTTTATAACGGCCGGGGCACCTAGCTTATCTATGAGTCACTCCTGTTGCACGTGCTGTATAACAGAAATATCGTTAACGCCGTCACGGCCATACTGACGTGCGCTCGTCCTCGTCCGACTGGATCCGTCTCGTCTGGTCTTTCTGTACTTGGACGGTCATTGTAGCGGCATCGTACAGACAACGACTCTTTATTAATTGGATATTCACAAAAAGCTCCAGCGAGGACTTTGATATTATTCTGAACGAAAGCTGCCCTAAGTAAATGAGATCCCTTTGAGTGATTTAACGCACACACTCGTACGCACCGTGTGGTTACAAGTTTGTAGATGTTATAATATAAAAACAAAGTTTATTAATGAACTTTACTAGTTTGGATGAATTAAAATCTTTGTAACAGAAGATGCCACCGTCAATTGAAGCCAGTCACAGCGGCAAGTTCTGTCTTAGGCAAGGGCGGTTAGTATTTTTATTATTACACACTAGACTACTTTCAGATGCGTCTCTACGCGTTGCATCTCAGCGGCAGCAGCTCGAACAAGCGTAACTCTCTATGTTATTTTGCTGAGCGCTAAGATATAGTTTTTAATATAGCGTTCGGGGAAATATTGTCCTTTCTCAAACGAAGTTTGGAAAGCGTTTTATATTCAGTTTAATTCTAATTTCATTTTAATAAACCGGATGTATTTATTATAAGTCGATTTTAATAAACTAGAGTATAGAGTCAGGGCTTTTGCGGGTTAGACAGGGACAGTTTGTAGTTTTCCAAACTTTCTAGGTTTTTTTTTTTTATTGCTTATATGGGTGGACAAGCTCACAGCCCACCTGGTGTTAAGTGGTTACTTATCTTATACTGACATCCACAACGTAAATGCGCCACCCACCTTGAGATATAACTTCTAAGGTCTCGAGTATAGTTACAACGGCTGCCCCACCCTTCAAACCGAAACGCATTACTGCTTCACGGCAGAAATAGGCAAGGTGGTGGTACCTAACCGCGCGGACTCACAAGAGGTCCTACCACCAGTAATTACCCAAGTTATAATTTTGCGGATTTGATTTTTATTACACGACTAGCTGACCCGGCAGACTTCGTAGTGCCTCAATCGATAAATAAAAGACCTAAACTTTTGTATAAAATAAACTTAAAACAAAGAAAAGGAATCCGCCCGACGGGGGACACATCAAAAGAAAAACAAAATTGTTATTTTTATTTAATTCCGAGCATTTTCATATTTATCTACCTTTTAAACTTTCTCTGGGCTTCCAGAAATAATTTAAGACCAAAGTTAGCCAAATCGATCCAGCCGTTCTCGAGTTTTAGCGAGACTAACGAACAGCAATCATTTTTATATATATAGATAGAAGATAGATTGAAACTGTATACTTTGTAGTAGCTCAGTCCGTGTAGGGCTTAAAGTTCACTCTTGTGAGATCCGAAGCTTATCCGAATAATATAAAGTTGAGTTTCAACTAAACCATGTCAAATGTACTTATTTGTAAGTGCAGAAAGCTTGTTTCGTAATCACATAAAAAAAAAAACTTTTCAATGTCGTAGAGTGGTCCTCAGTATCCAGACCATCACACCTCTCGGCTCTCGGGCGGCGGTCTATTCAAAGTCTGCCTCACCGGCCCGCCGTCTGACATCGCCGCTTGCTTACAACCAGCGCGGGCTGGGAAATGTGCTGATCGTGACTTGGTGTATTTTTTTTATTGCCACTGTGGGAAGTCGATCATATGGCTCATCTAATTAAATGGTAAGTAGTTACCGTCGCATTCAAAATGGCATGTCGATGTCACGAAGTATCAACAACAACATGTTTATAAAGACGCTGTAACGAAATACATCCAGATGGCAACAATGTGCAACCAACGTATCCAAAGTGTAATGTTAGAGTAAGCAGACACTCGAGCACAGCGCGCGGAGCAGGGCGGGCTCGAGGATGAATGGGAGGCTTCGTTAACTCCGACTAAGGTCTAAGAGTATAGTGTGAGGTGCACACAGTGTGCAGCTTGTACACACTCTGTCGCCTGAAGAGTCGTGTCCTATTCAATGGGAGATAATATCGTCTACACTAAAATAATCTAAATTAGAATATTTAATTAGTCCAGTCGGTTAGTTCGCACGTGGCTTAGTAGCATCACCAGCGCCGGGCCGCGTCATTGTTACAATCCTTTACTATATGAGCAATCGTAGGCTTAGTCCATAATTGTTTTAAAGACAATTTTATCACAATCACGAATAGTGCCTATGCAACTTTAATATTATACAGTTTGCGAGTCTATATGTACAAGTGATGTGTATATGTATACACAAGCGTGTCACATCATCCCGTTTCATTTTCTTTTCATCAAGGTATCTTCACGGTCGAGGGACGCCGTCTCCGGGATCTGCTCCCCCCTCCCACTACGTCCTCACCTCTCCACCTCCTCACCGCCGCCTCTCCACCGCCTCTCCACCGCCGCCCGTTTTGATAATGTTGCACATTTTAGTTTTTCCTCGTCGTTTTTAAACGTTATTAGTGATACAGGCTCGTCAGGCACGAGGATCGACCGAGGCGCGGGCGGCGTGCTGCTCTGCCATCGACGCGAAATGTTAATGCGCTTCAAATATTATGTTACCGGTGCACGTAGCCTGGATGAGGTCTATATTTCTTGGAAGTTTTTTTCAAATTGAACATTGTTTTATAGAATATTTTTAATTATCAAATTTTGTTAATGTTTTATCTGATAGTGTGGACGAACAAAGTTAATTCGATTTAAAAAAAGAGTAGCTCTCAAACTGATGATAATTCTCAGCTTGATAATGTATTTGAATGTATGTTGATTAGATTATAATACGGAGTTATTGAAAAACAATAAACGTTTTTTTCCCCAAGTATTTTTTTTCGTATTGTGTTTTCTATTCTGGGTTAAATATACTGTCTTTGTGTAACATATTTGGTATTTGGAGTCCAAGTATACATTTTTGAGACGTGTTTGTATTTACGGTAGCTCAATATAAACTGTTCATTTTATTATTTATTAATAAATAGTTTAAATGACATACCCACATTAAATATTTGTTTATCTTTATATATTTGTAGTCGTCGTGCCTAAAGGATAAGACATGCACCGGTGTTCGAATCCCGCAGGCGGGTACCAATTTTTCTAATGCAATACGTACTTAACAAATGTTCACGATTGACTTCCACGGTGAAGGAATAACATCGTGTAATAAAAATCAAACCCGCAAAATTATAATTTGCGTAATCACTGGTGGTAGGACCTCTTGGGAGTCCGCACGGGTAGGTACCACCACCCTGCCTATTTCCGTCGTGAAGCAGAAATGCGTTTCGGTTCGAAAGGTGGGGTAGCCGTTGTAACTATACTGAGACCTTAGAACTTATATATCGAGGTGGGTGGCGCGTTTACGTTGTAGATGTCTATGGGCTCCAGTAACCACTTAACACCAGGTGGGCTGTGAGCTCGTCCACCCATCTAAGCAATAAAAAAAAATTAAAATTAAGTAATATTCTAATATTAGATTTTGATTTATTTATTCATTTACATTATATTATTATATATCTTTACAATTGAAAACTATTTTGATTACTCGTATATTCGGTAATGTTCGTAGCACTCGTAGCACACGTAGCACGGGCGCTACGGGCTCGTTGTACGCCACTCGGGTGCGAGTCGCCGGGCGTATCGCGCGTGAGTCCGTACTACGCCGCACGCCACGCGCTCGAACTGTATGCAATAACTTAGGACGACAAGCCGCGACTCGGCTCTAATTCTAACACTGGCGTGCTAGTGAACAGTGCAGTGTAGTGAGATCATAATGTTTATATAATGTTGGTTTTGTGTACATTTTTTGAAGCTGGTAAATACTTTTTTACATTTAATTGTTAGTTACGAATCATTATAGGGATTAGACACATTTTCCAACAAAAACTATGGTTATATTAAAATAATAAATAAAAACTCAAGTAAATTGTAAATATTGTCTAATAATCATAATTTGTTAAAACTTGAACATATAGCGAAACTGTTAGCCTTTTTTGTAAGGAAAGAACTGCAGATATAATGATTAATTGTAAATATGAAATTAACTTTGTTTGTCTGTTCTATTTTCACGCCCAATTCACTAAATCGAATTTGACGAAATTTGGTATGAAAATAGTTTTTTATCTGCTATTACTTAACCGCTTCTTGTCACGATTTTCACTCTTATTGAGTACTTGGTATATTGATTTTTTTTTAATTAACATAACTCCTTTTAACCTGTCATCGCTGTGGAGCGAACTCACCCTATCTACTTTTTAGTTCGGCTAGATTTGAAGGTGCATGTTTTATTTTATTTTTTAATGAAAACTTTTCCTTAAATATAACTAGTCTGGCCATAAACTCTGTTATATAAAAACTTATTTTTTCTATTTTTTAATTATTTGGAATTTGTAACACGTATGTTATTTTAAAAACTTTCTTTCGATTTTGCGCCATTTCACATATTTTTTCGTGTTTATTATCAAATTACAATACGGAATCGGGTATTAAAGGCAATAGGATTACAGTGATTGCCTTGCACAAAGTGGGTATAGAGTCATCGGTCATATTCCAGAGACTTCAAAAGCTTGGTATCAGCCGTATGTTCGTATATAGTACTATCAACAGATACAACAACACTTCGTCTGTCGAAGACCAGAAAAGATCAGGGCGGCCGCGTGCTGTTGGAACTACAAAGGCTGTTAGTGCTGTTAAAGCCAGAATTCGTCCAACCCCATTAGGCATTAGGAAGCAAAAAATCTTATCGCGAGAAATGAAGATAAATTTTAATAATTTTAATAATGGTATATTACTTCTTTAAAAAAATGCATTTTCATTTGTAACAGAACTTATGGCTCGTCTACGTAGAATAAAGGGTTTTTAAATAAGTAAACTTCGTCCTTGACGCGGTACATCCTACGAAACACGGTTGGTTTGAGTTGCAACGAGCCGGATGTCGTCACCCATCCGCAGCTGCTGGCAGATGTACGAGTACATTCAATTAGCGAGACTGCGTTAGTGTAATGAGACAGCGGAATACATTTATTTCACTGTGATAGGTTTAAGAAAGAATGAAATAAAACAAATTTAGATGGTCCCTAACGGTGAAAAAAACGGATGGTCTCTACTCGCGCGGGCTGGTCTGGACGCGCAGAGTCGCTAGTACACCAGGCATGTTCTCGTTGAGACCACATCAACTTCAAAACTTTACGTTCGGCCTCCATTACAATATTTACCTACCTACCTTTATGTAAACTGGAAATAAACTAGAGCGCCGGGGTGCAGAATAAACACAGTCCTGTGTATTTTAAGTTCTCTATTTCAGTTAGTAATTCCAATTATTAATTGAAGTTAATTATAACACGCTGTGTACTTACTAAAATAAAGGCAGACAGGCACTACGGTGTCTCAAACTGATACGTAACTAAATGCCAACAGTAAAGCCTTGTTCGGACTAGGCGAGTATTTTAGTCGAGTACAGAGTAATTTAGTGGCTAAACTACTCTCTACTCGCCCGAAAAAATAGTACAAAATGGATTGACTTGACTAAATTATTTACTAACCTACTCGACTAAATTTTTGGTGCTCAGACACATTTAGCTACTAAATTACTCGGTACTCGACTAAAATACTCGCCTAGTCCGAACAAGGCTTAAGGGTTCGCTTTATTAGTGACAGTTGATGACAGTATGTGACGTCGGCAGCGACTACGGCGTAGCAAGCCGAGAAGGTCTACGAACTTGTAGCACAACTAAAACTTATATTTTATAGTCCTTGTAATATTAAAAATGTCGGTAATTTATTGATTATTTATTGTCTTTGTAGGCCGACAAGTGTACGGTCCGCCTGATGGTGAGTGGTTCACGTAGCTCTTGGACCTCAGCTATGTCATTGACACTGCCAAACCGCTGCTAGCTGCTGAGCACTGGCCCCGACCTCGCTTGAAGAAAACTTTAAAACTTAAAGAATCTTTGAGTTGGCAATGTAAATGAATACGTTCGTTCCTAATGTTTCTTCTAGATCGTTAGGATACTTGTAGACTAGTTTATTGGTAAGATTTTTAAAATCGTTTGTCTATTTTAGATAAATTATAGAAGAAATTTTTTTTTTTCGAAAACTTTTCATGTGAACTTTTACGCCCGGCCAATTGCACACTCAGAGCATCTAAACAGGGTAATAAACATTTGTGCGTAAATTTTCTTGTCCAGAAAAAGGTGTTCTTTCATTTAGCTGTGATTCATCTGGCTGAATGTTTCTAGTTCTATTGCGACGAGTATCGTAACGATAATAACCGTGGACTTCAGATATCGTTTCGGCTTTTTATTCATATTCAGATAGTTGTCTGTCTTTCATGTCCTGAAGAAATAAAGCCAGAGGACTATAGATCTCCACGACGGATAATAAATCAACTTGAGATTCTTGAAGCTTCTTACTAGCAGCATTAAATCGATCTAAAACTACTAGAACTGCTGAACTACTGCTAAGTTATTTTCTGACTAACTATAATTGCTGTTTCTAAATGCTGCAACTTTCGGTGCCTTCGCGCTTAGGTTATTTTAATAAAAAATGTTCTGAGATATGAATGAATACTAAAATGATATTTAATATTAGGTATATATGCATATCTACAGTATTTTTATTTAACGGTAAAATCAATTTGTGAAATTATTCAGATTTATTAATTCTTAAACGCTTTATAAGCATGAGATTAATAGAATAACAAAACAACAAGTAAAGTATATCATTTGATAAAGACTAACTGATCTACTAAACAAATTATATCTTATTCATCATCATCATCATAGTCGGTTGCTCTTGGCAGAGCAGTCGTGGTCATGTGGAATTCTTGCTTATTAAAGCCTTGATAGATGTTTTCCGTAGTTTGCGAACCCAGATATATTAATAACCGAGATATATTATAAAAAATATTTATACTTGTTTCGAGATTGTTTCCGGTACATGTGGCAGTTACATGCGTCTCTATCGGCTCGGAGAGAAGAGACGGCTGCTGGGATGCGAGCTCGTCCGTGCTAGCGCTACTAATGACCAGTACTTTACACACTGGGAACTGTTAACTTAAAAGAAAATATTCCAAGCTTAGCAATTACACAAACTGTAAGGTGGGACCAGCCGGGTCCGTGCGTTTTGCGTAACGTTTTGTTGTTTCTGTGTGCAGATGTCGGAGCGGCGTCATGATCGGGACCCTAGTGCTGAGTCTCCTCTGTGCCAGCCGTGAGTACCATTCTCTATCTCTGTGCCTCCGCAGATAGGGTACACTTTTGATATTTGTAAATCTAAACTTTAATGTAAATGTGTATAATAATAAAAAGCCGATACAACACAACAACTTCGTTATTAATATGACACTCCCCGAAAACAAAACAAAGGATAAAAACAAAAAATACTTGTATGTTTTACGAGTGTTCGTACAGAGTTCCTGTCCAGGGCGGTGAGGGCGGCGAGGGCGGTGAGGGCGGCGAGGTCGGTGAGGGCGGTCCAGGCTGTCAGGGCGGCCAGGGTGGGCCGAGTGTGGCATCTTGAACAAAGAGAAACTTGAAGCCACTTAAAAGTCTAACTGCGCAACTTTAGTTTTAAAAATGTTCGCCTTCAGAGCTGCGGAGTTCCCGATCTCGGCTCCGGACCCTTATCTCGCAGGACGTGCCCGTGTCCGTACGGATCCGTATTATCGGAATAAAGCGTCCTCGGTCCGGGACGCAGTATTAGTACTTTGTTTTGATTACGTTCCGAGTCTCTCGCTAGCAGCTGCTTCTTGTTCCCACGAAATTACTTGATTTTGTCTCTGTTGATCCTACCTTGAGATATAAGTTCTAAGATCTCAGTATACGTACAACAGCTGCCCCACCCTTCAAACCGAAACGCATTACTGCTTCACGGCCGAAATAGGCGGAGCGGTGGTACCTACCCGCACGGACTCACAAGAGGTCCTACCTACCACCTTCTGCCGATATTTTGAAGGCATCCCTCACGTGTGTCGGCTAATACATAATTATGTACGTGTACTGTACGTAGTGTAGCTAGGTGCGGTCGGCCGAGGTACAAATCGATTCACACACCTCATGTCTCAAGAAGGATGACGATATTGACATTGTGATTTCTATGGGCTCAGGTTACTACTTAAAACAGCTGGACTATGAGTTCGTTCCTACTACTCGTATGTGCAAAAAAATAAAAACAGCTGGACAGTTTTTTACATAAATAAGTAAGTGACATTGTATCTGATATGATCCAAATGTAGAGCTCGCCAGAGCTGGAGTCTAAGCGTGTGTATATACAGGCGGCTTCTCAGATGGACACAACAATGCAAATGAATCTTTCTATCTTTTCTATGTATACATAATGTCGGGTATCAGAGGGGAAACCCAACGAAACCGAAGATTTAGGAGATATAAATATTTTAATGTGGTTCAGTTCGATTGTCGATATATACATATATAAAAGATTTCTGTATGTCGATAGCCAAGACCAAGTGTCGACCAAGAATGTTTTAAAGGTACAATGAGATCTCAAATTAAGTTCATCTGTATACTATTGAAATCAAACTAAGCTCAGGCAGAGCTGCGAAATACACTTAGTTAAGTAATACGAACAGTTTAGTGAACAAATGTCTATTTCATGTTAACGCTTACTAAAATTGTTGAGAGTTAAATGTTTCTAATCTGTATCGTTAAAAGTTGACTGCACATTTCTCATTGTCGGTATTTATTCACAGAAAAATGTGTATTTTTATATAAACATTGTTTATACATACATACATTTTATATATAAATTATTTTGTGACTATATATATATTTTTTACACTTATATGTAATTTTTTTTATAAATTATATATGTATACTATTCTTTTTGGAATTCCTTCAATCTTAGATGCTTACAGCTAGTAAAGTATTTATTGTAGGTGCTGTCCATTCTGTGCACACAGCTAGAGCTACTGCTCTAGTGCAGATATCATGATGTGTGTACAGTGCAGCGGGCGAGGGGGTGCGCAGACTTCACTAATAGTTTTAACACCTCGTAGTTACACAACCGTACAACACAAACGACTCTGAGGGATGCGGTCCGATGTAGATGATTCCTTTGTACTCAAACTTGGGGCTTTACTCTTATTATACTATTTTCGTTGAAATTTGCTGAATTTTATTTTAAACGCACAGATCCAAGCGCGTTGCCACGAAGTATAACTTTGTAGTTTGTATCACGTAGTGGCGATGATGATAACTCCGTGCTACAGACGGCTGCGGTCGGCGCAACGACACTCGCTACTGGAGGAACATTATTATTAATGGCCTCAGCAGGCAAGCGCGCTCACGGCTCGTCCCGTATCACGTCATTGTTATTATTATTACACTGCGCTGGCGCTGCTCTTCAGTGCAACAGTATGTACATATATAGACGCGGCGGCTGCCGTGGAGCGACTGGCGCCGTGGTTCGTGGTGGAGGCGCCCCCTGTGGTGCAGTACGGGGTCGGCGAGGGGGTGCGGGTGACGTGCGTGGCGCGCGGGGACCCGCCCCCCGCCGTGGCCTGGTTGGCGGAGGACGGCTCCGCGCTCGAGGACGTGCCCGGACTCAGGTTCGTGTTCAGCTCCTGCCGCACAACGTCATCGTCTCGACCTGGATGCACTCACGTCCACATCCGACTGAATTTACAAAATCAACTTAATTGTGTTCACTTTCATTAACATTCACTTATAGTAGCTACCGTCACTCTGCCTAGTTCTGCCACGCAGCGGTCAGGTTCGTGAGGTAGGTGAGTTATGAAGTAATACGCATGAGACTTACATCTCATGTCCCTAGGTGAGTCCCTTCTCTTCGCAAATACTGCAGTGTCTGAAGGCGCATTTCGTGACCACTGAGTGTTGTCAGTGATGACATATGGTACTGGAACGTGATAGCTCACAATGGATCTTATTAGAAAGCTCACAGTCACTTAAAGAGCAATGGAAAAGCTATGATCGGAGTTTCCCGAGATCGAATCAACAACGAAGATATTCGCAGAAAAACTAAGGCGACTGATATAGTCCGGAGGATTGCAAGGTTGAAGTGGGCAGAAGGCTGGGCTGGGGCTGTAAAGTTCTCGAGTATCAACCGCGCACGGGAAAATGCAGCGAGGGTAGGCCTCCAATGCGTTGGACCACTAAATGTGAGCTGCGTAGGACCGGCCACTGTAGCGAGAATTGAAAGAGGCAGTGGAAGTCTACGGGCTGATGATGATGATGATGTTGACGAGAAGTGATCGGTAACCACATGCTGATAGTAATAACGTTGCGGTGTAGGTGTGTATAAATATGGTGTAAATTATATTTAAAGCTAAACCTGCTAAAATATATCTAGCAGCGGACGCGGAGTAACGGGCATTCATCCATTCACGGTCCCGTAGGCACTTCCACGAGCACATTGTGCCTACCTAGTGCATCTACTACCCTACTCCCGGAGTACGTTGTATATTTTCAATATTGTACGCATGTTAAATTTCTACTGACCTTCCTTTCAAACATTAAACATGCACTGAAGCTAATGAAGAAGGGGAAATTGTCGGGTCAGGATAAAGCCACACACGAACGACTACGTTGTGGAACACCAGCACTTAAGTACCTTCATGTGCTGTTCAATGAGGTTCTTTTCGAAGGTGCGATTCCAGAGGCTTGGAAAAAAGGATATGCGATTGCATAAAAAAAGGCATACCACCAAACTCACTGACTACCGACCGATATCCTTGCTGACTCATTCACAAACTTTTTACGAAATTTATTACTTTGCGCTTTTCTAAAAAATTTGACTCAGCACAACCAGTAGAATGGGCTGGATTTCGCAGCGGGTATCCCACAAACGACCATAGCCACACACTGTACGACAACTTGTGGAAATATGCAACGAATACAATCGTCCGCTGACAATAGCCTTCGTAGATTATGAAAAGGCTTATGACACAGTCGAGCAATGGGCGGTAATAAACTCTCTATAGATATCGCTAATTGACATCATATAGGAGGCAGTAAAATCTGCTTACCAGGATGCTATTCTTCAAANATCCCACAAACGACCATAGCCACACACTGTACGACAACTTGTGGAAATATGCAACGAATACAATCGTCCGCTGACAATAGCCTTCGTAGATTATGAAAAGGCTTATGACACAGTCGAGCAATGGGCGGTAATAAACTCTCTATAGATATCGCTAATTGACATCATATAGGAGGCAGTAAAATCTGCTTACCAGGATGCTATTCTTCAAATAAGTATGTATGAATTGACTAATCCTGTGAAAGTGAAGTGAGGACTGCGACAGGGAAACACTATATTACCGAAATTGTTTACATCTTGCTCGAAGACATATTCAAGCTTATCGAACTTATTATTAAGAGCGATGATTGAAGAGCTTTACGACGTGTTTCTGCGAATTCATCTTCAAATGGTCCGATCGCGAACTTAGTCTGACTGTATATCAAATAGTCTGCTTGTGCCGTGGCCGTACGCAGCCTGTCCACCGGTGGGTAGCATAACGTTTTCATTAAAGACTAGACACTTGTGTCACAGCACACAAAAAGGATCTACACGTATTGTCCTCTCGGATTCAACCGGAGTGCCGTCAAGACTTGGTGTCAAATAGCACGTTTGGTAGCACTGGACCCGTTGGGGCAATCAGATTTGAAGTATAGAACAGCTAGTATTAGATCCCAGGCGGCGTCTGCGTCCGCGTGGCACTCTCATCGTAACATCATCTCTCAAACTGATAGTATAGGTTGTTTTTACTTTAATTAATATATATTAGAATTTAATAATTATATTAATAATTAATTAATATACCATATATGTGACTGCAATTGTAAGAACACCTTTTCACATTGAATATTGTCAAGTTCGAGATTTGTATTGAAGCAAGTGCTTGGTGCATGCAAGGTGCGAGGTTGTCGGTGTGTGCAGACGCGTGTACGGCAACGGCACGCTGGAGCTGGCGGGCGGCGCCGCGCCACGCCCCGCCACGCTGCGCCCCGCCACGCTGCGGTGCCGCGCCGCCAACGCGCACGGCGTTGCGCTCTCCAGGGAGACGACGCTGCGCCCAGGTACTGTACACTGTACACATACGAGTATACCTACTGTACCACACGCTGCCTGCTGCTCGCTACTCGCTACTCGCTGCTGAAGACAGTAGGCTGGGCTTTCACTTTTGTCACTGTGCTCCTGGCGTTTTCCGGAAACTTTCTTACGCGTCTTCCACTTGTCACAGCAAACTATTCAGGGAACACCGTGGAAGGGAGATCGTTCTAGAGCCGGATAATACGAAAAGCGTTTATCGGTTTTCTTCTATTCTGTAATATCTACCGCTACAACGAAACTAGTCAAATTTTTGCAAAAAAAAACAAGGTATGTTACTCGTAGAAAACTTTATTATTCTCTATAAAATGTAAACAGTGGGTGCGTTGGGTGCGGTGGGTGCGGCCAGCTGGGAGGCCGTGCTGTGGGTGCGCGGCGCGGCGGCGGGCGGCGTGGCGGCGTTGACGTGCGGCGCCTCGCGCGACCCGCAGCTGGTGGAGCCCGCCGCGTGGTACCGCGGGGAGGAAATCCTGCACGTGGACCCTCCCACTCCAGGTGCGCGACGTGTACACATAGTGTAATTCGAAGGAGCCCTCCCTCTGGCGTCTGTTATCAAACTGTAATTCTACAATAGAAATGTCGCACTCGGCCGATAAATGACCCGCTGTGTTGGATAAATAATTGGTGTATCTCGTTTTAGGCAACCGAGTATATACCAATGCTTTCATTAACTGTCCACTAGTTGAACAGAATTAATATAATCTCGACAACATAGATGTTAACAATTCGCCTTGGCGTCATTTGGTTCTTCAACTTCACCATGTCTCAACATTAACTCGTCGACTTCGACTGAAATGAACTGTCGCTGATGTATAAGTGACTAATAACAAGCACACAGCACCTACGTCAAGCCATAGTAGCACTAATGAGTTCGANATTAACTGTCCACTAGTTGAACAGAATTAATATAATCTCGACAACATAGATGTTAACAATTCGCCTTGGCGTCATTTGGTTCTTCAACTTCACCATGTCTCAACATTAACTCGTCGACTTCGACTGAAATGAACTGTCGCTGATGTATAAGTGACTAATAACAAGCACACAGCACCTACGTCAAGCCATAGTAGCACTAATGAGTTCGACAACAAGATGTGAAGTCGCGACGCGGAGACGGATCGTTTCAAAGTTTCTGAGGTTCACGAGATCATTAACCGAATGTGGCTGCGACTTGGACTAATCCTCTTCAGAGCATTATATCTGGAAAGAGATGAAGCGGTTCACTCCTATATTAGGTTTGTTATGGGAGCCTTGTTCTTTAGGAGTATCGATAGGTCTTTACCTCGCTTGGTACGTGTGAACACTTCTTCGGTGATGGATGATGTGTCATAAAGGGTGTGGACGCTAGCGTTTACAATTCTTTGAAGCACCCAAAATGAAACTTACGGAACAATAAAAAAGTTTATCTATAGAGGAAGAAGCTTCAACTCGTCTGTCAAAACAAATTGAGTGTGTATCTCTAGCAATGGAATGTAATTGAAGTTTCCTACACCGGCAATAGTATAATCAAAGTCTCCACAGTTCGCTCACAGTTGTACTGTGCGCGCGATTAAGACAGTGAGCGCGCTGAAGAAACGTTTCGGTTTCGTAACGCAACCGGATGCTCACTGATTGTGCATCGCTAGACCCACACAGATGAATGTCGGCCGTTGATAATACCCAACCAACCAACTGGCAAACTAACGAAGGGCGCTGGGCTCATGTTGTAGGAGCTCAGCGTCACCCGTGGTTGGAGGGATAGAAAAAACGTAACGTTGTGAATTTATCAAAGGGAGAAAAGTATAAGGGATAAAATACGCAGAGGTTTCATTGCGGCCGGAAGTAATAAGGTCACACATATAAATCGTGGCGTCGCACCGGACGCGGATAAATCTATCATCCCGACTGCACGACCCGGCCTCAGCTGCCCGCCCGATATCTACCGCACGAGTCACGACGGACATTACATAGTATACAGCTCTAGCCACGTGTACTCGCTTGATTTCCTTTCAATAATAAATATTTCATACTCCAATTGAGAAAAACCTTTACTTCATGTCTCGTTCTTAATTAGTACAGCCTGCTGGAAATGCTGCACAGTACACCATTTTTTTTCAACAAGCTAGCCACTCGGTCTTTAGTAGTTGCCACAGAAGCCCATAGATACCATAACGGGAATGCCGCCTGCCTCCTTGAAATATGAGACCGAAGTTCTAGTTGCGTTGTATGACCGCTGTCCCATATTTCAAACTGAACCGCGTGACTCTAATCATTGGAATCAACAACAATAGAGGCAGTGGGCAATCGAAGCTTCGACGGCGCGTCTTGAAATAGATACTCTCATTCTCAGCTACGGAACTGGAAGACGGAACTAAATATTTAAGCAGTTAGTTGGTACTTTAAGTAAGGAAGCTGGTGTGTGCACACAAAATAAGTTGTAAGTGGGTGTGTGGTGCGGGGCAGAGTCCCGGTACGTGGTCGCCGGGAGCAGCCTGCTAATCCGCGCGGTGTCGCCGGCGGACGCGGGCCCCTACAGCTGTCTGGCGCGGCACTCGCTCAGCTCCGTCACCAGGCGCTCGCAGCCGGCCATGCTCACCGTCACAGGTCATTACTTCATTTCAAATTCATTTTAAATTTCAAATGCTAAATCATTTAGTTAAGAATTTTACTCTGGTTCGTACGTAATTCCGGATGACCGTTTCGCTCGTTAAGGAAGACATGCGTCCTGATTGATTTTATTAAAAAACCCACCCATAAAGTCATGCGGTCACCATTAAGAAGGATTTCAGTCACTGTTCGTAGCGAGGTCCCGCGCCGAGCCTCACTCGCAGCTCGGGTCTAGAGCGTATTCATCGAAATTCTAACCGCCTATGTCTAACATTGAATTGATAATCTAATTTTATATAATTTTTTTTATTTCATTCCTTTGATGGTCAAAGGCGCTCACGACCCACTTGGTGGTAATTGGTACCCGGGCGGGCCCATACGTATCACAGTGTGAGTGTTGCCGCTCGCCCCGAGGTACGAGTTCAAAGCTTCAGTTAAATTATATAATAACTGTTCTACCTCCACTGAGCATGCACTAAACACGGCCCCACGGCGGTGCAACGGCGTTGTAAAAGCGTTGTAAAAATTCAGACCTGGATAATATCTTTTTTGTTTGTAAACAATACAAAACTCCATAAATAATAAAAAAATTGTCATAGCTCTTGACATTCTTCAGTAACGTCACAACACAATAATATATAAATAATTAGGTTGAACGACACGGCGTCGCTAGGTGGACGGTATTCATACTGTTCAATTAACGGCGGTTTGTGGTTCGATGTTAATTACAGTGTCACTCTGCATCAGACCATAATCTGATAACGCACGGGGATGCATATGTAGTACGACCACACCCTATATACAATATACACATCGTCGTACAACTACTGGAGAATGTATTGATTGGAGACAGTGAAGCAATCTCTCAAATGCCAAATGTTACTTTTAATACGGATTCTATGAACCGTGTGATCTGTGGAAACGTTTGAGAAAATCCCGTCACTTCCTGTCCATCGTGGCCCGGCTCGCCCGGTGCCGGCGCTGTCGCCGCACGGTCGCTGTACTCGACCACAGAATACATCCAGAGTTATTTCCTACCACGTTCCTACCGTTACTTACGTACCATAGTTTCCAGGGAATGCACTGTCCTCCGCGCAGTTTACTATTCGCTTTGAGGGGTCTTCTACAAACGATGTTTATTAAAATAAATGATGGGTTAAGATGATCACCTACCGTCAGGTGGGCCATACGAACGCCTGCATTCCGTAGCAAAATAGGTATCGTAGGTTGAGGTGGACGGGTCTGTTAGTCCGACATTCTCTCTCAGCAGCTCAGTTACCCGACGGGCTATTGCTACGTAGGAACCCTTGGCTTTTCCTTGAAAACTTCCCAGTTCTGTAAGTAATTGTGAACGGTACATGTCGTGTGTCGCAGCGAGCGCGGTCGGCGCGGCCNCATACGAACGCCTGCATTCCGTAGCAAAATAGGTATCGTAGGTTGAGGTGGACGGGTCTGTTAGTCCGACATTCTCTCTCAGCAGCTCAGTTACCCGACGGGCTATTGCTACGTAGGAACCCTTGGCTTTTCCTTGAAAACTTCCCAGTTCTGTAAGTAATTGTGAACGGTACATGTCGTGTGTCGCAGCGAGCGCGGTCGGCGCGGCCCCGGGGCTCGTGTCCGCGAGCGAGCTGACCGCGCGCGCCGGCTCCGCGCTGTGCCTGCCCTGCGCCGCCGCCGACCACCCGCCGCCCACCTACTCGTGAGACTATTACTGCGCATCTAATACATAATACAAGAAGATCTAGCGATCTTCTGATACTCCTTACATCCTAGAAGCTTCTGAACTGAGAATTTTTTATACTATATTTAAGTACTTACATATGTATAAAAGTATTAATACCTAATTAAAGTTTATTGAGTAGTATATGAATGGCTAAACATTTGAAACCTTGGAGCTATTGTATGACTATATGCCGATTCATTCTGTATCTACTATAATATTTGAATGTGCAGTAAAGGCCAGGTCGGCGACACGTCGGTGCAATGCTCTATGATATAAACGCCAGGTGGTATCGCGAGGTGGCGGGTCGGCTGCAGCCGGTGGAGTCGTCTCCGGAGGCGTGGTGGTGGGCGGGCGGCGCGGCGCTGTGCCTGCCCCGCGCGCGCCCCCAGCACGCCGGCGCCTGGCTGTGCAAGGCGTACAACGTGTTCGGAGACGCCACCGCGCAGCTCAGGATACACGTCACCGACACACTCACAGTCACCGTCGGCCCCTCGGTGCTGGTGCGACCTTCATCATTCAACCCACAACGAACACACAGCGACACACAGAGCATTGGCAGACAGCTGTATGTCTGCGGGTGGTTGCGTGCAGGTGGCGGAGACCGGCAGCACGGTGCGGCTGAACTGCTCGGCGTCGGACCCGGCGGCGCGGCTGGCGTGGCTGCACGACGGGGCGGCTGCGGGCGCCGGCGCCGCGCTGCTGCTGCGCTCCGTCAGCCGCTCGCACCGCGGCCTCTACCAGTGCTTCGCGCGACGACCTCACGACAGCGCACACGCTGATCTAGAACTCAGGCTTGGAGGTTAGTTAAGCTGAGATAACTCCTTCTATTTTGGATTTGCAAACTTATATGAGGTTTCATCTTGACCTTCTCAAACTTGAATGAGGACTTTCCGTTACTATTTGCTTCACTTTTGTGATGATAACTTCAATTGCAGATGTTGATAGCCTACTAGAGCGAGGCAACTCCTGCATCATATCTCAATAAGCACGTCTTTTTGATAAAACCGATTCACCGTAACTGTTCAGTAATTTCCTACACGACAGTCTATAGGCGATGATCAATTTTATGACAAAGCAAAAAAAGTAAGACAGTGTTCTTCTTCATTGTGAAACTCGCAATAAACACTACTAAAAGTTGTGCCAATCTAACAACAACAAGAAAAATAATCATTCAGTCCCGAGAATTTTTTAAGTGAATGTATAGTTACGATATTAATTAAACAAGATAAATCAGTGGAAGAAGTACAATATTTTAAAATCAGAATGTTTCGAAATAAATGGAAAATGTGGCTACGGCGTAGCGTCACCTCCGTCGGCTACGTGGTCTACGAAGTCGAACCAGAGTGACTGCTGCGACAGACAGAGCTGCATACACACATACAGATGACCATGCAACTGAGGTGTGGAGAGTTGATGTTGTTGATTAAAACACGTAGTATTGTCTGTACGACGTCTTTAATTATACTGAACTACTGACTTACACACTACACAACTATGTATAAAATTAAATGACATAAACAATAGTTAAACACAACCGGCGAAAGACATAATCCCATGCAAAACATTTTACACTGTGTTTGAATTATATAAATTATACTTACCTAATGTTTAAAGAACTAATAATCGATGTGTAACTTGTAAGAGTAAAAATAAAATAGGGTTACAAAGTAATTAAAAAAAAATGTTTGTATTTCGTAATAAAACTACATATAAGTCTCACCACCACTTTCAAGTCCAAAAATTTAACCCTTATAAACAGACGACTCAATGGCTTACATGATGGTGAATGGTTACCGTTGTTCATGGACATCAGCAATGCCAAGTTTACAGCCAGACCGCTACACACCAATGATTTTTATTCTGAATTTATTTTATTTATATGTATGGGTAAAGACACAACAGTCTCGTCGTAAGAAAGCCTCAAAAATATAATCCATTTACTTCAATAAATCGGAAAAAGAAATCTCTAACATTTTCGTTTGAATAGAGCACAAATCGAGCGGGAAAAATCTTAACGAAATACATCGATACCGGTTTATTAGATGAGAGCTGACGAGGGTGGGGGGTGGGGGTGGGGGCCAGCGACGCGAGGGGGCAGGGTGAGACCCACAGCGGAACTCAATCAATCTCATTGTCGGTGTAGTGTCTGAGGCGGAATCAATCAGGAAGGCCCGCGCCGGCATTGTGTCTCGGCGGTGACAATGGACCAGGGAGGGGCATGTAACCGGGGGGAGGGGTCGGCGACCGTCCTCGGTACACAACGAGTCGGTTTAACTAATCAATGTGCTTATACTCAGCGATGCCTTTTTATTCCCACTGTATGTTTATCCTAATGGTACCTATAAGGCGTTCTGTGAGCTTGCTCGGTCGGGTTTCACTGCGTCGCCTGTTCATGCCGCTATTGTACAAAACGATTAAGACTTCGACCTCACGTCACAAAACGCGTGTTCACTCTCACGCTGTCTGGGAGCTTCAGTACCCACTCAACAACAGGTGGACCGAAACTGGTTCACACATCTCTCCAACCAAAAAAAAACTTCATTAATAACCACTTAAAACGATAGATTCCCGAGACACTGTTGCTCACCTCTGACGAAGAGAACAGGAGGCCCGCGAGGCCCGTATGTAGCGGCACTGTTGTCTCCTCGTGTCCACTGCATCTCTCTGTCGCGCGGTGACCAGAATGCGCCGATCAAACGATACACGAAACTGCACTCTAGGGGGATCCGAGAAGCCTGTCGCGCTACTTGCTGACAGGTCGATCGGGTCAGGGCTTGGAAGCTTCAACAAACACCTTAAGGTGCTTTCAGTATGCTGAAGCTGAACTAAGGGTCCGGTGCAGTAAGCCGCGGGAACCCTTAGCGCTGGAGGTATGAGCCGAGAGCACCGCCACCGGTCTTATTTAATGACTCTGTTTTTTTTAATAATTTGGCTCCAACGCCTTTGGCATTGATTTTGCCAATGTCAAAGTATTTACAAAAATGACAGATGCTTAGAGAGGGAAAAAGTTACTAAATCTAAATACAAATAAATTTGGTCGGTTTTTCCATACGCGAATCTGTGGTTTTAAGAACAGCACAAACAAATATATGTTAGACTTACTACTTTAGAGATAGATATTATTAGCAGATAAAAATTTACACAGAATATTTACACGTTTAGAATAGACTAAAGTTAATAAACAATTATTAATATTAATAGGCCGGGGAATGTCATTGGGAAGGATATCATAAAGAGGGCATACGATATTGGGGCAGTCGAAGAAAATGTGATCCAGGGTCCCTCATCTAATCCACACTCACAAAAAGAATGGTCACAGACTCTAATTTTGGCAAGAAAAACAGGGGAGCAAACATGGTCAAGTCTAAGACGGATTATAGCTGAGACAATTTTTTAGGGAGATGGCAGTGGGAGGAAAACCAAGGCTTAGAGGGCAGGGTCGGTTGTAAGTTACCATGATGCTTACCTACTGACTGACGAGAAATCTGCCAGCTTTCATTCCAAGATTGAAGCATATCAGGTTTTGCCATGGAATGTAAATCTCGAGGAAAAATTTTGTTGTTACAGCCCATGATAAAAGCCTGCTTAGCACAGGAGTCAGCAAGCATATTCCCACTAATTCCGCTATGACTTGGGATCCAGATGAGAGTGACATCAAGACCGGAGCAGTGACATTGAAACAGAGTTTCTTAAATTTTTTATATAATTTCTAAATTGACTTTTGAATGCGATGGAAATTTAATTATGTCTTGAAGACAGCTTAAGGAGTCCGAAAAAATTATTGATTTATTTAGACCGCGGGTTTTAATAACAAGAGCTGCTTCTAAAAGAGCAACAGCTTCACCAGAGTACACAGAGGAAGTCTGAGGGAGTTTGTATTTTAAGGAGATTTTAAACTTGGGGATCCGTACCGCAACACCGACAGGACCATTTTGGGATAGTTTAGATGGATCCCAATATTCAAGAAGGTAGTGGGACGAAATAAAAGACAGTCAAAACGACTCTGTTTACTGATCCATTTTGAACAGTGTTTTGTTTTTTATTGCCCTTGTAAGCAGACGAGCATACAGCCCACCTGATGGTGAGTGGTTACCGTCGCTCATGGACTTCAGCAATGCCAGGGGCAGAGCCAAGCCGCTGCCTACCAGTTTTGATGCATAATATACATATTTTGAAACAAGCACGTTACGATCACGCGTACTGAGCGTAAACTATTATATTATAGTTAGGTACTATTGTGATCATAAATTAGCTTTTTACCCTCGATTATAGAATATAATTAACACGCCTTAGAAACATACAGATTTCATATTTACATTGGCAAGCAATTACAACGTAACAACAAGTAACAATTCTTTTGTTATTCATAATAGCGACGACAGTTCTAGTTAATAACGGGTAAGAGTGTGACACGGAGCGCCGCCGGCCGGCTGGAGGCTGCGACTCGGATGAGCGTCGGTTCAATTACAGAGAACAAGCGGATGTTTGGCCTCCACTCGGAGACTCACTCGGAGTATATCCCCTAATTAAATACTGCATCAGCCCGTGAAATATACACAATATACTGTAAAATAAAAATAAAATTTACATGAAAACAGTAATCTTATTTTTTCTTTTAAAGTTTGTATTGGATGTGATATTTTGAAATAATGAGACCCAAGCATAAATGCTACATAATTATAATAGTATTCTGCTTTAAGCTGTCTTTTAACCTCAAGCAAATTTCCAAAATTGAATCACTTCAAAAAACTTTTCAAGGTGTGTTTAATTGAGCATTCCACAAAACGACCACTTCACTTCACTTCAGTACTTCACAACACAAAGCGCACAGCTTACATTTGGAGAGCACACACACGCGGCGCGGCGCGGCGGCGCGACACCAAACTGTAATGATGTTAGGAAATAGTAAGCGCGCCCGAGACTACATCGAAACGTATTAAAGGAGACGGAAAATCGTGGGCCAAAGATGTAATAACTTGGAATGTAGTCTAAAAATTTTGTCATATTTTTTTATATAAGAATTAAAAATATCACCTCAATCCTTTTACTGGGACCGGAGAAAAATGAGAAAGTTAGTTTTTGTCGGTTTAGCGGTGTGATCGATTTAAATAATCGATTACAGGATTATAAAAAGAAAAACCTTGCACTAGGTAATGAATGCAAAGTAATTAAATGAGCGATTTATACTTGTTGTATACAAGTGCGGTATACGGCGAATTTAATTGCGATTATATACCTAAATAAAGAAAAAGTCTATTATTACTTAACAAAGTAATATGATTATCGATTTCAAATCGATTAAAATCAATTGTATTTTTAATGACAGCTTTGACAATAAGCTGACATGACGAACGAATTATTGTATGTAGTTGATGTAGAGTATTAATGTTCCAAACAGACTCAGCGCCGGAGTTGCACTACACCTTCATAGAGCAGGCGCTCCGGCCGGGGGGCAGCGTGTCCCTGCGCTGCGCTGCCTCGGGCTCCCCGGCGCCCAGGATCTCGTGGCTGCTCGACGGACAGCCCCTGGATCAGTTCGGAAACCAACACCGGTACGCCGCTTTAGTAACGCTTTCATATGGTTCATTACAGGAGCTGCTTCAGATGGACCTCACGTAGTACGAGAAGCATGTTGATGCCAATTTCAAATCACACGGTGCACAGTGCACGGTATACGATGCATTTGAGTATAACCATTATGTAGTCACTTTAGGGTGTGTACTGAAGGTTACAATCATTAGTTACAGCTGTTAATACGTACGATTGCACAGTTATTAGGTTTATAGAGGTGGAGGGCTCTTTCATTACTTTAGTTTTCCATGTTCAGTAGGTACACAGCACAGCAGTGTATTGTGTGTACTGCTCAGGTACTTCATAAGCGAGGAGTCGTCGGCGGGCGGCGACGTGGCGTCTGCGCTGAACGTGAGCGCGGCGACGGCGGCGGCGGGCGGCCGCTACTCGTGTCGCGCGCACAACCGCCTCGGACGCGCCGAGCACTCCGCCAGGCTCAACATCTACGGTCACTACACATTTACTTCTTAGCAATAATTGATCCTAAACAAATGAATGCATACCATCATTACACAAGTAGTGTACAACCCATTAGTGACATGGCATTGTCTGTGTTGTATCAGGTCCTCCTTCGATCCGCGCGCTGGGTCCGGTGCGGGTGGTGGCGGGCGACAACGTGACGCTGTACTGTCCCTATGCCGGATATCCGATCAGGTCTATAGAGGTGCATTCTAGGATCATTCCTCTTACACGCACCGAACGAGCGACTAGCAAGTCGCGCGGGCACCCCCGCTCCCTCGCCTACTCAAATATCGCTTTACTTCACCAAAAGCAAATTAATATTTCAACGTCGATATTTGAAAGGTCTTCATTGCAGCTGCTTCTTTCTGGCAGACAGACCCCTGTCATTGTTCCTCATAATATCGAACAAATATTGTTGGATGATGTATTGCAATGTTGCAAAAAAATGTAGAATAACAAAGTTTTTGCTAAATTTTTTTTTTTATTGGAACGAAGTTCCTTACGGCAGGCTTGGAGGGGACAGGGATTTTGCTGCGCGACCGAACTGAAAAAAATGTGATAGTAAAACCGTAAGAAAAAATCCGTGGAAAAAAGTGCGTGGAATAAAATCGTTAAATGAGACGTGCGCAGGCGCGACAGTCGCATACACAAGCGAGTAGTGTATAATACCTTTCTCTTTCTCCCTCTTTCTTTTCGTTCTCTCATCCCTTCTCTCTCTATTTTGTAATTATTTCTATTTCTATGTAATTTTATGTTGTCAAACAAAAATAAAGAGACATATTTTGTTATTTTAATTGATAATTTGAATTACGATTTTNATATTTTGTTATTTTAATTGATAATTTGAATTACGATTTTATTTTTATTTTACGTAATTTATTATTTCCTAAAATACTGAATTTCCTAAATACTTTCCTGTACTTAAATAAAAACTAATCAGCAAAATTTAAGAGAAAAATCAAGAAAACCAACATAAAATTGAGCACGATTTTTTTTTTGCAAATTGTGTCGATTCTATCTTAGCCGAAGGAACTTCGTTCCTACCTGGTGTCCCACGACACCCAATAATTAGTCTTTTGCTTAAGTAGGTGGACGAGCTCACGGCCCACCTGGCGTGGAGTGGTTACCGGAACCTAAAGACATCAAAACTTAAATGCCGCCACCTACCTTGAGATATTATGAGTTCTAAGGTATCAGTATAGTTACAACGGCTGCCCCACCCTTCAAACCGAAACGCGTTACTGCTTCACGGCAGAAATAGGCGGGATGGTGGTACTTACCCGTGGGGACTCACAAGAGGTCCTACCACCAGTAAAAAAATTTGTGTATGTGGAGCTCTCCAACCAGCAATTATTTTTGTGCAGTTCAGTAACATGGTGGGTGCGGGGGTCCGGCACGGCGGTGGGAGGCACGGGGCGGGTGTCGGCTCGGGGGGCAGCCTTGCGACTGTCGCCGGCGTTGCCTAGCGATGCCGGACACTACGCCTGCGCAGTCGCCGCGCCGTCCGGTCCCGCGGCCCGCAGAGATATAGAGATACAAGTTCGAAGTTAGTATGCGCTCAAATAATGTCTCACTTTTTGTTAAAGAGGACGACGGTCAGCCGTGACAGTAGTGTGTGGCAGTGGTGCGATTCCCGTACAGTCCCGCTTTGCGTGATGGCGCGCTATGTATATGGCAAGCCTAAGAAAGGTGGTATGCATGAAAGGATGACTGAGGACGGAAGAGTTTTGATGTGAAACTGTGCGATTCTCTCCCACTCGATCCGGCGTTAAGCCATCTCTCTCGCTACACTGAGCTCGGATACCTATAGTGTATACTCCGTAGTGTATACAGTGTTGTTTACTACAGTACACACAACCTGTGTTTTACTCGAAAACAAATTATTTTTTCGTAATATTTTATTTTATCATTATGACATATTTAGTTCCTATCACAATCTGTTCTTTTCTGCATATTACTTTTACAAAATAATGTCGATGTTTTACATCTGTCAGGCGTCCCGTGACGGATCACATTTTTTTTTAAAAAGGAAATTGAGTGGTGCCAGGACAACCAAAATCAAATAAAAATGTATTCAGCAACGTATGTATGTGTCAGCAAGGATTTTAAGGGCCTTTTGGAAGGAAACGAAGCTTTGAAGTGTGGTGCGAGCTTGCCAGGTAGTGTGGAGGGTGTGTGAGAGCAATGAGACTGCGGAGATTTTTAGGGAGCACTTCACAGTTGAGTCGTGGCCTGAGTCTGGAGACCCCGGGATGAGTGAGCTAGAGTTACGAGGCGGCGATCTCTTATGTACTGCGCAGGACGACGGGCGAGCTTTTAAATTACGACAAAGGCTATATCACCTGGACATGACAACCTTACCATAGAACGCCTTTAATATGCCGGAACGCATTTATCGCGAGTATTGGCGATATTCTTTAACATACATATGCGTAGGACGCTCTAGCCTCCCGGTCAACCTCATGCCTACAGTGGTAGAAGGGTGATAGGAAGAGGGATGCCTCAGATAAGAGTAACTTCCGTCCAATTTCATCGGAAACTGGTCCATTGAATCCATCTTAATTTAATTTTATATTGTATTTTAAATTTAAAAAGTTTTAATGTAATTAATTTTATTGTTAGATATTTATCCCTATATAATGTGCAATTGAAATAAATTTACTTTATTTTATACATGCACAGACATGTTCACGATATAGTTGGTTATAAGTCGTTATCAGAGACCATAGGCAGTAGGCGTACAGACTCCATCATAGGTGTTGTAGGTGTTGGTGCGTACTGCACGTGTCGTGAGACAGCACATGTAGTTGCCGCCATCTTGTCCATTTCTGACGCTATGCGATCATGCATTCTGATTTGATGGGTGCGTCAGTCGCTATTGCAATACAACTTAACGACTTACACTCCATGTGTCAAGGTGGGTGGCCACATTCACGTTTCGATGACTGTGGTCCTCGAGAGATGCTTGAAGTCCGGTGGACTGACAGTGCGCTGGTTTGCCTTCGACTGTCAATAAAGATAGAGATAAGATATCACAGACGATTCCTCCCGTCATAGATCCACCAAAGATTTCGCCGTTCATGTTTTCATCGGAGCTGACGGAAGGCAGCTCTGTGCAAGTGCTGTGCGGAGTCTCCTCCGGGGACAAGCCCATGTATTTCTCTTGGTTCAAGGACGGGGCTCCTCTGCCGTCTAACTTGCAGGTACTAGTATCGATCTTACCTATTACTGTGACCGTAAGGAAGTTGTGTAAGAGAGATTGCACATTAATTGATTTAAAATGAAACTCGTTATCGAATTGTGATGAATGCCTTACTTTAGATGGTTCAGTTCTTGTGCTGGTGTAATATCATGACGCATGTGTCATGATCGCCTTATTGTTGCCGCCGCTGACTACTCCTTGAATCCTGATTAAGCAGGAGCCAGTCACCGTCAACACCCTAAGCACGTCCTTACGGATCCATCAGATCCAATAACCGTTGCATTAGACGCCTTTTGCTCTAACACTAGGAGCAGGCTTAGGGACCCCGGTAACCGTACTCGTNGTGCTGGTGTAATATCATGACGCATGTGTCATGATCGCCTTATTGTTGCCGCCGCTGACTACTCCTTGAATCCTGATTAAGCAGGAGCCAGTCACCGTCAACACCCTAAGCACGTCCTTACGGATCCATCAGATCCAATAACCGTTGCATTAGACGCCTTTTGCTCTAACACTAGGAGCAGGCTTAGGGACCCCGGTAATCGTACTCGTCGAACTCGACAAAGAGGTCGACGGGCAACCTAACCTAAACATCAGCCCGCGGAGTTTCACGTCGGATCTTCTCAGCGGGTCGTAATTCCGATCCGGTAGTAGATTCATTCGCGAAGCAGTTAATCTTGAGTTGTTAGGTCTCCTTTGGAGGCGCTCGGGTAGCTGTTGGCAATTACCACCCGTAATGGCTGAGCCTTTGCTCGGGCACCTGTCCTAGTGAAACTGGAACGGCCTCCGGGCTACCCGTATTCCCTCAATCATAAAAAAAATCATGACACTAGATAGAAGAAAAGAGTCTGAACGAGTTCTCCCTGCTGATGTTCTCCGAGCTGACGTCTCGTCACAGCGGCGCCTACACGTGCCGCGTCTCCAACCACGCAGCCTCCGTCAACTACACTGCCACGCTCAGCGTCAAAGGTGACCTAATAGCTCAATCAAACGCGATGGCGGCGACGCGGCTAACAACTCACTCATTTCTTTTAGAAAATAAAGACAAACGTTTAAGTGCAGACAATAATCGTAACCTTCTAACAAAACTCTTATGTAATCCAATGCTCGTGAACGATAAACATGGCGCATTATTGGGATGAAAGTGGCAGCGATCATAACGTAAGTGAGCAGTAATAGAATAAATTCGCACCCTCTCTTTTAAATAAGGTACTGTAATATTCTACAATCTCCCTACATATTTTAAGTACTGATGTTAGGGTGTGTTGCAAGGTGGCCCGGGTGCGATTAGGAAGTATTCATAATATTCGTTCCGACTTAAAGAGCGGGGCAGCCGTTAAATTGTATAGTTGAAACATCAATGTCGGGTCTCGGAATGAACTCGGCGGCATTCACGTTATGACACTTGTGACTTCTAATCGCCACTTATAATCAAGTCGATGTACCTAAACTTGGACTTGTCCAATAATCAATAATTCTAATTTTGATAACGTGTCTGTACGAGTGTCTGTTCTATAGCTCTACGAGTATAGGCAAGTACACAACAGTTGAGTGCGTTGACCCCGTCTGCTTGTCAACAGATTTTCTCTTTGTTTGTTTGTTTCTTTGTTTAGTTGTATCTAAGAGCATTAGAATTATCAACAAAATAATTTAAACTATTTTTTATTCTTTCCTTTGAATAAAAAATTTCAATAACACAACAAAAAAGAGAATGTAAAACATTATAGTATATGTAGATCGATCGGTAATCCTGAGGTGTCCGTGATTACGATAACAATATTAATGATGATGAATGTGCCACCGCTCAGTGACGCCGAGCTGGGTGAAGGAGCCACAAGAGGCCGCAGTACTGCTCGGAGCCCCACTTCTTATAGAGTGTGCTGCAAAAGGATACCCCACACCTGACATAGTTTGGTTCAGAAAAATAGGTAATGTTTCAACATAATTTCAAATTTCTGCAAATTATTTAAAAAATAGAAAATAATTTTTGAGCATATTTTTTTCAATATAGGTGATGGAATCTCATTAGGAGAAAGCACTGAGCAGTGGGAACAAGTGAGAACCGTTGAATGGAGCTCTAGTCCAGAGCTCGGCTTGCAAGCCAATAACGGGACCTTATCTGCCGGGACTGCTGCTAGAGCTCATCAGGGCCTCTACCGGTGTCAAGCTGATAATGGAGTGGGTCCTCCCCTGGTGAAACACCTCAATATTACAGTTCACGGTAAGAAGGGGACTTCAATTCTTTTGTGTTTTCTTGCACATACTTTACGTTATTCTATAATAGATATCGAGTGTAATTTGTACGTAGTAAATAACTATATTGTTCCTGTTGAATGTCCTGTCCAGAAGCAGCTCAGTTGGAGGGTCCGGGCGGCAACGTGTCGTGCGTGCGCGGGCAGAGCGCCACACTCACCTGCGATGCGTCAGGAGACGCTCCTCTGAGTGTCCACTGGTCACACCGAGGAGCCAAACTCGATCTCAACTCTTTTAGGTTTGTGAATGTTGACTAATTTAAAAATATAGGTACTCTACAATTTTTTTCTTTAGCTTATGATCAATCAATTTTTTTCTTTTTCTCACTGTATGATTCTGAGCCTGTTTGTTTCATACATATACATATATACATATATTCCAAACGATCCATCTGAAATGTTTTTCAATTTAAATTATAATATATTCGCAATAGCTTAAAGCTCTTGCTAAAGAAAGGAGGGTATACAATAGCATGGCTAATGCCTCTTTATAACGCTAATAAGCATAGTTCATAATGATCATTGGCCCTGTGACTGCAAGGTGGTCCGTGAGTGAAGCGCGGACGGCAGGCGGTCTGAAATCATCGCTTCAGTTGAGAGCTGCAGAGAAACTGGACGCTGGAGAGTACCGGTGCCACGCTCGCAATCAGTTCGGGAGCAGTGAACTATTGATGTACCTGCATGTTGAAGGTACCACTTACTTTTAAAAGCTTATTAATCCCACTAATATTATAAATATGCAATTTTGTAAAGATGTTTGGATGTTTTGCAATCACACGTAAGCCGTTGGCCACATTTGAATGAAACTTTGCCAAGGCGAGCACGCAGATAGATCGTTTACTGGATTAAAATTTTGAATTTTATCTTTTTATTTCGGTAATGTGTTCCCATCGGATAACATTTCAATTTTGATAATAATTTAATTGGGTTTTTCTATTATCGTAATTTAGTTAAATCAAGAGATTATCAATATTTCAAAGCTGTGCGTCTACGTTATTATGTGATAATATTAAAAACGACTAAGCTTGTTTTACGGATTACCATTCACTTTAAGAGTAGCCGTTGTTAAAAATGACCACTAACAACTGCTGAAAGTCGCAGGAATTCATCTGGGCGCTCCCTGCTGCTCACATGGCCGGCTGTATGTTCGTTCGAGGGTATCAAGTGGCCAAAACTTGCACCCACTAACTCAAAATAATAGATCGTACATAATATCTGTATTCCAATAAGTAATCCCCTTACAGGCATACAGGGCAGGGCAGAGTTTTCATGAACACGCTGCCCATATGAGCACGGACGTCTCCGCACTGTGATCACTCTATCAACATTAGGTCATCATCGCTCAGCGCAGTAACGGTCTCAGTTACGGTTCATCTGTGCGTAACTCCAGAATTAAAGTTTTAGGAGGTTACTCCTTGAGAATTGATTTCATATATTATAAAGTCCCCGAAATGACAAGGTGATCTGAGCACGACAGGATCATTCTAAATTTTACTACATATTGAGTGGGTGTATCAAAATTTGACACCGGTGGCAGTAGTTTAATTCATACTTGAATAATAATCATGGTGCTAAAAATATTAATTCAGAGCCGCTAATTTGAAATATGTTAATTTTAAAGTTAGTTAGTAGGTATAGGATGATAGTAAATTTGATTTGTTAAATATAAAAGTAGCTAGTCGTGCAGTAGTAGAGTGAGAGTACAGTGGGCTCGCGTCCCGCAGAGCCCCCGGCGGCGCCGCGGTCGGTCCGCCTCTGCGCGCTGGGCTCGCGCTGGGCCCGCGTGTGCTGGCGCGCGGCCCCCGCGCTGCACCACGCCGCGCTCACCGCCCCCCGCGCAGACACCGCCCCCGAGCCGCACCAGCCGCAGACACTACTTAATCTCACCGTCGAAACTACCGATGACAGGTTTATGACATGACGACCCTCTTAGATTATAATATAGTAGTTAGGTTAGATTAGTACCTAGTAGTAGAATAGACGATGATTAAAAATCATAAGACGTTCTCTTGCGTTTAGGGGCTTCTAATGTGCCCTGCCACTGGCTAAGACCCCGGAATGATAATAAGACCAAATTGTATTGCCCTAGTTAAAACAGCTCTCTTACTTTATTTTAGTTAGTTTTTATTTTATTTGAAAATGTCTTCATGACGTACATACTTAAAGTACCTATGTCGTTTTATCAGTACTTTTCTGTATTGTTGATAGAGCTGACGCCACCGGCTCCCGAGCGTACGCAGCACGGCTGGCCGACCTGAGGCCCGCGGTGCCTTATACAGTACATCTCGTCGCGTCCAACCACGTTGGCCAGTCACCACAGTCTGATCCTTTACTCTTCACTACTCTCGATGAAGGTCAGAGTCTGCTTAACAATTTAGAAATGTTAATTTCTATGAGCTTTATAATTTTTGTGGTGACATTTTAGCTCCATCAGCAGCTCCGCTAATGGTCCGCGTGCGGCCGGCCGGTCCGGGCGAACTACACGTTTCTTGGTCGGTGAGTACGGCTCGTTCTACGAACGTGTAATCGTCGACGTTATCATGTAATTTAGCAAAGCGATCTTTGTCCGTCAGGCGCCGTCTCCAGTGAGCTGGAACGGGCAGCTGATCGGTCATGTGGTGTCGTGGCGGGAAGTGGGAGGCAGCTCGGAGGGTCGCATGGCGGCTCGCGGGTGGAGCGCCGCCGCACTCACGGTCGTGGCTCTGCGGAGCGGGGCGCGGTACGCGGTTACTGTCCGCTCGTACAACCGTGCGGGCGCGGGGCCGCACTCGCCCGTCGTGCACGGCGCCACGCCGGCTGGCGGTGAGCACTGACGACTGATTGCGCACGGCGCATTGTTACCTTTTTTTAATACTGAATTACTAAAACTAGTGTGTTGAGTGCAGCACCCGAAGAGTCTCCACAATCCGTATCATGTATCGGAGTGTCACCTCGTGCACTGCGAGTCCGCTGGGCCCCAGTCCCCCACGCGGCGCCGTTGTTGGGTTACGATCTACATCTCGCGACGATACAACAAAAACACAGTGAGTAATCGATATTATTTAGTTCCCCTTGTAGACAGACGTAGGTATCGCTACTTGTTTTCGCTGTCCGAGTGGTAGTATGATTGACTCGGTCTCAACGTACAACCGACGAGTGTTGTTGAGTCCAGGCTGGAGTGTGGCGGAGTGGCAGGTGGTGCGAGCGGGGGGCGGGGGCGAGGCGCGGGTGGTGGGGCTGCGCGCGGCCACCAACTACTCGGTGTGGGTGCGCGCCCGCTCGGACCTCGGGCTGGGGCCGCCAGCTCCTCCCGTCTACTGCTCCACGCTCGATGACGGTAAGTACTTACCTACTCGCTCTCTAGCTCCTTCTTTCTCATAATCGTTGACGGTGGCTTGATCCCGCACCGGTACTGTGCAGTGGCGGGCGCGGTGGGCGCGGTGCGGGCGGTGGCCGCGGGGGGCGACACTGTGCGCGCGTCCTGGCTGCCCCCCGCCGGGCCCGTCACACATTATACGCTTTACACCAGGGAGCTCGGCAAGTACGATACACTAAGTTTTTTTCTTAACTTTTTATGACAACCTTGGTGATAGTAGGATTATTATGGTAATATGGTCGTACTTAGGGTAGGCGGAGAGTGGTCGCAACGTGTGGAGGCTGAAGAGGGAGAAGAGGAAATGTGGCGGGACGTGCGGGGGCTGAGGGCACGCGCCGTGTACGAGCTGTGGGTCCGCGCGGCCACCCCCGCCGGCGTAGGCCCCCCGTCCGTCACTGTCACCGCCGCGCCAATTGCAACAGGTTTGATTTGATTAAATTTCTGTTGTGACATTATATAGTGTTTTTGTTTTGAAACGATTAATTTGATTTGTAATTTAACACCAGCTCCGGCGCGTATTTCTTCACTAAGTCGAGCGGTGTCGGTGGTGGAGGGCGCTGATGCGAGGCTGCGATGTGCAGCAGTAGGGGAGCCCCCGCTCCGCCGAAGGTGGTCGCCACTACCTCCAAGACATGTGGTCTCAGACGCCGGGGATCTCATCATACATGGTTTGTTACGCAATATGGTAAGTAATTTCAAATAACAAGAGTGCAGATAAATGCTGAACGTGGAGTGTGTATAACGCAGGTGTCGACGCGTCGCTGAGCGGTAACTACACGTGTCGCGTCCGGAACGCGGCCGGGTCGGACGCGGTATCGTACGTAGTGCGCGTGCGCCGACCGCCCTCTGCCCCGCTCCTGCGACTGGCTCGCGCGGACCTGTACGCGCTGCACCTCACTTGGGAACATCCTGTGCCGGACCCTGATCTGCCACTTATTAGTACGTGGTAAACAGTCCACTGGTATGATAGATATAGTCGTATTTTTTGTAGTGTCTTGTTTATTGTATGTAGGCTACAGCATATGGTGGTCGTTGAGCGAGGAGCCAGCGGAGACAGCGGAGACAACACAGTGGGCGTCCGTTCCGGCGAGCGACTCGTCGTACACGGCGCGCGGGCTGCGGTGCGGCGCCGCGTACAGCGTGCGGCTGCGGGCGCATAGCGCGGCGGGCGCCTCGCCCCCCTCGCGCCCACTGCTCGCCAGGACCGCGGGGGACAGTTCGTATGCCGTCAATGCAGATAACAAATCACTCAAATAATACTAATTAAAACTGAGCGAAAGAAGATTGAATTGGCGGATTGGTTGAAAGGTGAATCACATGTGACTGAAGCAGAGTGCTTAAAACAACATACTGTCTGATAATATTGGACACGGTCTATAAGAGGCGAGCTAGCAATACAGTCCTTCTGTTCTATTACATTTGTGTCCTTAAAAAATAATAATAATGTAGATTGTAGCTGCTAAGTATTTAGTTTAGTAGCACGTTTAGTGTTTTACATCTTCATACAATAAAAAAATTGTCGTCATGTCCAGAGGCCAGAAAAAATATATTGCAGATAAAGAGTATCTGCTATTTTCCGATTTAAATAAATAAATGACGGACGGACTTGAAACGGTGGTGTGCGCAGAGGTGAGTCCCGCGGCCGGCGCAGAGTCGGTGTGGGCGAACAGCTCGGCGCTGCGGGTGAGCGTGCTCGGCTGGAGCTCACTCTGTGCGGTGCGCCTCTGGAGGCTTGCGCTGCGCCCCGCCGGCGCCGACCTCTGGACTCGCATGCCTACCGACGGAGAATACGCAGAGGTCCCTGCCTCGCTCACTAAGTGTTTATTTTGAAATATTGCCAGTCATTTTTTGATATTCTAAGCTGTCTATACATAAGTCTTAATATCATTATTTGAAAACCGTCAGGCTACGAATCTTCGTCCCGGGACTTGGTATGAGATCAGAGTGGTGGCGAGCTCATCCGCCGGTGAGAGCATAGCCCTGTATCGAGCTGCAACCCTGACAATTAATGGAGGTAAGACATTGAAAACTTCACACAGCATCATCATCATCATTAATTTATTTCCCTATTATTGAAAATTGAATGGATTGAGCAGAACGATTAGGAGAAGTTGTGGAGCTACCAGTAGAAGAGCGTCGTGCGTCAGCAGAGGGTGCGGGGGGCGAAGGGGTGCACTCGGCCGGGGAGGGAGGTGGCTGGCGCGCGCTGCTGGTGCCCGCACTGCTCGGTGGGGGGCTCGCTGTACTCCTTGCTGGATTGGGAGGCAAGTCATACAAATTTTCCATTGGGTATACTGATAAATTTTTGATTAACAAAAAAGTGAATTAATGAAATCAGGTTTCTTGATGTAACCTTGAGAAAGTTTCTTGCCGGATCTTCTCGGTGGATCGCGTTTCCGCAGAATCACAGATTCTGCGAAGCACTGCTCTTGCTAGGGCCAGTGTTGGCAACACTCCCGGTTTAAGCCCCGTGAACTCGCCTGCTCGTCCGGTTTTTTTTTTTTTTTTTTTTTATTAATATATTGCGCGTTCCCCTGACGAGTAATTGTCAGGGACATTTTTTAGGCTATTTTGCTATTTTTCCAATGTTTCGTTTTCCATAATTATATAATATTCATTTCTGTTCCCTTCTTATACTTATACTTTAATTCCCTTATATTTTACTTATATGCCTATTATTATATTTTATTTCTTCACTTTTTTCCGATATAATTTTCATTTTCACTTCTTGTACGCATTCCATTGTCTATCTGTCACATTTTTCGTTGTACATTTTATATAATTATGTTTACATTTTCTTTACGTTGTCTAATGAATACATTACCAATATAAAAATTTACATTAATAAATTACAATGTATAATATCTTAAAATTACATTTTGAATATTTCCATTTTTCTTACAACATTTTGCTCGTCCGGTTACATTGACGTAGCCTCTCAAGGCTATACCTTAGGTAGGAAAAAAAATCTTTCACCAAAGGTAATTTGGTAATGATTTTTGGGTTAGTTGATTTACCTTTAGGTTTTCATTTTTGGTAAAGACATGTGGCACGTAGGTTTGGTGCTCGTCCGTCGGCGCCGGCCCCCGTGCTGTCTCCGCGGCGGGTGCTCCCTGCAGGCGGCGCGACCGCAGCCTCCGCTCTACACCACCGAGCCCAAGAGAAACGAGAAAGCTCTCACTCTTCCGGATGGTAATAGCTCAAGTTTATTATTTTACACAATCGATCGTTGCGACGGGGCTCCAACTCAACGATGTCAAACAGCTCATATTCTATCTAGCCTATCTAGTGTCCTGCGTCTTACTAATGATCGTTTTTATGGAGGATATATGGTAGAAGTGGTGGGGTGGCATGGGCAGAGGCGAGGCTTCTAAATGATAACTGTGTCCTCGTACACACGTGGCTACTTTTAATCCCCCCCTTTAAACGCTCGCTTATTGCTAGACATCGTAATGGGTCACCACCATGGGTAAGGATGGGGTAAGCAGTAACCGTCGCTGATGGACCTCAGCAATACCAAGGCACAGCCAAAGACGCTATAGTTAAGATCCATTTGCAGGTCAACTGCACGAGATAAGTCCATATGCAACATTCAGTATGTCAGGAGAACAGGCACTGATGGGGGGTGCGGGCGCGGGGGGGTGCGCTCTGCACCTGCGCAGCTTCGGGCGCGCCGAGTTCGACCTGGCTGCGCCTCCGCCCCGACCCAACTTGTTAGCGCACGCTAACGGTCAGTCAACCTCTTTATTAGTTACACAGTCGCCACCGGTTTCAGTATGTTTCCAGATAACATATATTACCCACATAAATATTTATTACATTCTTTACATTTTTCAAACTGCACCAGCAACTAACTTACTGTACTGTACTGCACTATGTCGGTCTTTATTAGTCAGGCAGCGTGCTATCACGTCGGCGAGGGCTGTCGACGGCTCACGTGTCTGTGACGTCATACAGCAGCAGTGACGTCACAATACATCTTCACGTCCCGCAAAACATGTCGAACAGACAAATTGCAATAACCAAAATGGAAAATAAAATAAAATAAAATACTTAATGCGAGGGTAAGCCATCAGATTAAAGAAATGCCTGTAAGTGTTCGTAGTATTGTAGTCAAATAATAAGAATCTATTTTAAGCGAAAATATATCATTGTTATTTAGACGTACGAAAAACATGAGGTGACAGCGGCAAAGAGAAGTACAGAGTAGCCCGGAGTCATGGCCGCACAAAGGACAGCGGACTTAAATAACATTTCACTCACCCATATAATAACATTATTTGTTCAAATTATTTCGTTTATGTACTATTTTTATGTTTTATTTTAATTTATGTACCAGTTTAGACACACATGAGTGGCGGACCGCCGCCGTCGTTGTATGGCCACCGGAGCCACCGGAGTTCGTTGATACTTCAGGACACAATACTGGGGTCTCACCTTCAGCGTGCGTAGCTTATTTGTAGTAGCAGTAGGTAGGGTGGCGGTGGCCGGTCCTGCAGGCAGCTGATGTGCTGCTGGCGGGCCCGCAGTAGGAGCGCTCGTCACGGCAAGTGAGGGCAGGTTTCACATAAAGTCGGATTGCAATTTCCGGTCGCTGTTTGAATTCATAATTTCGTAGTTGAATTGTGCGTCGCTGGGTCGCCGCGAGCCCGGATATTAATCTGCGCCAGGTACACAGGTACACGTGCTCACACTGTGTACAGATAGACACACGCGCAAATTGGGTTTGCTTATGTTGACCGCATACATTCTTATAGATATTCAAGCATGTATTTTTTTTTATCTTTTTTTTTTTTTATTGCTTAGATGGGTGGACGAGCTCACAGCCCACCTGGTGTTAAGTGGTTACTGGAGCCCACAGACATCCACAACGTAAATGCGCCACCCACCTTGAGATATAAGTTCTAAGGTCTCAGTATAGTTACAACGGCTGCCCCACCCTTCAAACCGAAACGCATTACTGCTTCACGGCAGAAATAGGCAGGGCGGTGGTACCTATCCGCGCGGACTCACAAGAGGTCCTACCACCAGTAATTACGCAAATTATAATTTTTGCGGGTTTCATTTTTATTACACGATGTTATTCCTTCACCGTGGAAGTCAGTCGTGAACATTTGTTGAGTACGTATTTCATTAGAAAAATTGGTACCCGCCTGAGATTCGAACACCGGTGCATCGCTCAACACGAATGCACCGGACGTCTTATCCGTTAGGCCACGACGACTTATCTACTTTTTTCTATTTGTATACAGACGAGTATGTGATAATATGCTCATTGAGGCCGCTACCTGCCGATAAGCTGTTGTTTTTCTTGTAATATTTACATGCTTCCCCCTTGGTAGAGAATAATATGGTTAGTTGCTATATTAAGGTGGGTTTTACCTCTCTCTAATGAGACGCACCACTTTGTGTGGAGGACGACCGCTTCACGATATAATTTAGAACTCCTGCGTCATTTCTACGGGCGGGTCACGCCACCTAAGGTGAGTAGAGTCATCCGACTGTGCTTTGCGTGGACTCCGTCAATAATATTTTTTATGCGAGTGCCTGAACGCAAGAAAAACACACAAGTCTTAAGAGCCGTGCGTCGATCCCCTCACTCCCCTCACTCCCCTTGCCGGCCTGGCTGCTGTATCAGTACCCGTGTTCCAATTATTCAAAGTCACGGACAATCATGACATGAACTGGATCATTCTACTGATTGTAGGGCGTCTTGTGAGTCCGCATGGGTAGTATTGGGTAGGTACCATCACTTTGCCTATTTCTGCCGTGAAGCAGTAATGTCTTTCGGTTCGAAGGGTAGGGCAGCCGTTGTACTGTACAAAACAGACATTAAAACTCACATCTCAAGGTGAGTGGCGGAATTTACATTGTAGATGTCTATGGGCTTCGGTAACCACTTAACGCCAAGCGGGCCTTGAGCTCGTCCACCTATCTAACCAATTAAAAAAAAGAATTAACATCTATTATCTACATCTACTATAGGGTCGATTTCTGTATTAAATTCTCTCTACGGTGTTGTTATTTTGAATAATTGACACAGACATACAATGTGTCATTTGATAGTAGTTGGATGCAGTGCCGGTTAACACTCGTATAGTTAGATGAAGCTAGTCATTTTGTATAGTTTTTATTTCTCCCAATTAAAATATTATATATACATAGAGCCGTGGTATCGATGCAAGTCTGCTAGTGCAGTGGTCATTTTTCAATAAAATATTTTCTTAAAGAGGTTAGTTGTACAGTAGCCAACAAACCCTTCAAAGGTATTTTGTACTGCCTCTCGCGCATACAAATTTCCCTCTGTAAAATAAAATTACTTTATTTTAAAATAGAATTCCATATTTTAAAATGAAATTTATTTGACTTTAAAATTGATCGTCAGCCAGACACAGATTCCGTTTCAAATGGTCGTATATTGTAAAACGGAACTTCATAAGTAAAGTACTTTGGGAGGCTTAACGATAAGCGACGGTCCGATTGTTGTTTTTTGGACCTTGTGTATATGCAAACTTATCTTGAAATTGTCGTAAGCGAGATTCAGGTATCTGTTAAATATTTGTGTTCTATGATGGCTACTGCTCCATTTATTATATACACATACATAGATTCCATAAGCCACAGTGCAACAGTATATGGACATATACAACGGTACATACTACCGTACACGCAATGAACTAACATTACTATCCGAATGGTTGAGATAGCCCCATTCATTACATCGCAGGATATTAAAAACGCGTCATAAAATAATAATAGTTCATTTCAGAGGCATTATCTCTGCTTCCATTCGCCGAGTTTGCAATTTCCGTTGCGCTCTCTATTGTCCGTCTCGTCCCCCACCGACCCCCCGCCCCCCTTCTCACCCCACGTCTCGTACAGCCCACGAGACCTCCCTGACCGCTGGTCTATCGTCTCAAAGATTGTTCGGGCCGTCCCGCGTCCCGTACAAGGTAAGGAATGCAATATAGTGTCGTGTGGAGGCTCGTGGGGCGGTTGCTACTCAAATAAATTGTGTTCGGATTTAAGAAATGTAACTGAACCGTAATTTTTGATGGTAAAATTTCTTCGTACTTTATGTCTGTCTCGGCCCAGTCCAAAGCTGAGGCGTCATAATGATGCCTCAATTGTATCGCTCGTAATGCGAAGTGAACCCATGAATGTTGGCGGCCTGATTAATGTGTGTATGTACGTGTGTGCGTGTTATTTGTCAGCGGAACACGCATTGATATGCATTGCTCTCGAAATTAAGAGAAAGACTTGAACTGAGATAACACCGCGCTGTGCCGCGAACGAACATTTCACTCAAGTATCACACGTTGGAAGGCTTTAACGTTAATTACAACCCTTAACAAATAAAAATCTTAAATAATTTTATATCTTCTCACACACTATCGAAGAAGACGAATATAGCAAATTATAATTGGATAAGGATAAGACGTCCGGTGCATTCGTATCTAGCGATGCAACGGCGTCCGAATTGGTACCAATTTTTCGAATGCAATAGGTATTTAGCATATATTATGTTCTCGGTTGACACAGTGAAGTATCGTGTATTAAAAATCAAACCCACAAAATTATAATTTGCATTGCCTACTGGTGGTAGGACGTCTTGAGTTCGCACGGGTAGGTACCACCACCCTGCCTATTTCTGCCGTGAAGCTGTACTACGCTTCGGCTTGAAGGGTGGGGCAGCCGTTGTAACCATACTGAGACCTTAGAACACGTGTCTCAAGGTGGATGGCGGCATTTATGTTGTAGATGTCTATGGGCTCCGGTAACCACTTAATATCATGTGGGCCGTGACCTCGGCCACCAATCTAACCAATAAAAAATAAATAAATAAAAATAATTTAAGTGAATATACGCAGTATGTATTAAGAATTACCTGAATAATTACCGACCTCGGAATTAGCAAGTTTGTCTTTTTGAACAGTGCCTTTGAATCTAATCAGAAACAAAATATTAAAACTTCTCAAAAAGATTGCACGCTCTATAAAAACTCTTCACGAAAGGCAATCATTGGTAGAGGCTATAGAAATAAACAGAGAGTATGAAAACGTATCGATGGCGGATGTGATCTGTAGAGCGGCGCTGAAGATTTACCGCGGGCCCCGGCCGATGCAGCTCGTACAACTGAAAGCGCCGCTATAAATTTGAGGCTCAGCTTTAAGCTACGATAACATAAATTGAGCTGAAGAGAGATTCAGTTCGCTGGCAGAGCACCCGGGATGTACCACGAAATAATATATAATGTTGACACACTTTCACTTGTGTGTATTTATTATTTATACTTTTGAATTTTGACAAACGCGACGTTCGGTTCAAATCGAAACGTGCAGTACATATTTCAGGTGTATACACACACACTTATATACAAAATATATGCACACATACATTTACAGTAATTTTAAGGGCGAGTGCGGTATTATTCCAGGCAGAGTTTATTTTCTAGCGGCCGGAATTAATCAACAGAAGGGGTGTGGTTTTTCATCATGATAACGCTAGACCTCACACATCTTTAGCCACTCAGCAAAAATTAAGAGGGCTTGGCTGGGAGGTGTTAATGCATCCGCCGTATAGTCCTGACCTTGCACCTTCAGATTTTCACCTGTTTATGTTATTTTAATTTCAAATAAAAAAAAATGTTATTTCAATGTTTTCTGATTGTAACTTTTTTTTCTCTTATATAATAAACGTCATACCTAATGAAATAAACTATTAGATCCTTAATAGTTCCGGAAAGACTGATCAAGTAAGATGCAGTAGCGATAGCGGTTTGTTTGTTGTCGCTCTGTTCATTGTTTTGACTCTCACTTCGCGACAAGTTCCAGTTGTTATTACCGATCGTCACCAATTTGACTGAAGTCAAGTTAAAAACGAGGTGCAAGAGAAAACCATTAAGGTTGATCGTAGAGATGACCGAGACGTTCTCATAGGCTTGTGCGTTGAGGCGGGCCGGCGCTGCAGAGGCCCGTCCACGTTGTGTAATGCTGCTCGTGTTGTCTACGTGTGCAGAGTACGGGCGGGCCCGCGACCACCGCGACACCGAGTCGGAGTCGAGCGGCTCCCCGTGCGCCGCCTGCGCCGCCGACCTCTACCGGCTGCCGGCCCCCAGTCTCTCCGGTAACACACACACACAGACACACACACATTTCATAAATTGGGTCATATCCAAAAAGTTTTAGTGTCAATTTTTGTAAATTTATCAATGCACAATTGTCTAACGTAATGACACCGCTGTCTGGATTCAAGAATACTAGCTCTGATCGACTCCGTTAAACTGAAAAATATTTTTTCATTTAAAAAAAAAGCTGTATTTGATTAGACTACGTAATAAATTATATAGAGGACGTCGTTAGTACACCTCAAGTGCTCGAGTATAATGTACCTACTCGTATGCTCGCCGTAGATAGAACTAATCCGTTGTACCGTTACATACGTTAGACACGCTGCCAGCTGTGGAGTCCAGTGCAGAGGAGACGTCGTACAGTACGGGGGCCCGCGGGGGCGGCGCGGCGCGGGGGGAGAGCGCCCCCCGGCCGGCTCCACGCTCGCGACGTCGCCGGGAACACACCAGACATTCCTCTGGACCTACTGTGAGGTAGGATACCTTCCAGACAAAATATTTTGCAGTCACCGAAGCCTATGGAAAACACTCCAATATCATTAAAAACAAAAACTCTGCAGTTATTATATCTTTAATCATAAGGCTTAGAGTTGTACATGCCAGTCTCGAGCCCGCGTCCTCCGCATGTACGAGTAGCACTGAGCTGTTGTGCCGTGTTGATGTGGATAATCGGTTTCTGAAACTACACAAACTTCTAGACATCTTATTACAGAAATTTATTTATTTACCAATTTTTTTAACTTTTAAGGTGTATTTTAAGAATGATGCTAAAACATCGTCACCGAAGTATTTTTTACAGCAAACCATTCATTACAATCTGTTGTTTACTGTGAAATTCGCAATTCTTCTTCGACGCCAAGCATCTTGTTAAAACTCAGGCTTTTAAGTTTCTAAACCGAATTGTATAAAAAAAACAGCTGTTTGTTCTGAAATAAATGAAAGTTAGACGACGTCCGGAGACAAGTGATATCTAACGAGCAGCCACAACGTCACTCGTTACATTATTACTTACCTACTATTCTATCAGAATTATTAAGGATTTTGTTTTCTTTTCAACGTAGCCACCGTTTCTAAAGGAGAGGTAGATACTGTTATACTCGTACAATACATAGAGACACCCGAGACTAGTCGCTCCCTCGATCCTGCCCCCATGCATGGCTTAGAGCTACAGCGCAAGAGATGCATGTCTCACAGCCCCTAACGTTATGTTTCCAAGCTGCATCTCATTCTGAGACCCTAATAAATGTAGCCATGTAATGATGATGCTCTGAATTCATTCTGAAACTGGACCACCATGAAACAGCCGCGTGTGAACACGTGTCTACGCATTCTCCGTTTTAATCTCGCTTGTATTCCGAGACTTTGACTATTTTATAGTATCCCTGGTCGCAAGCACGGCAGAAACTAGAATTGTAAACTAAACACGAGACTTAGCCGTAAAATAGTACCTATCGTAGTTGCGATGGAGTGTGGCGACGGAGGTCTGCAACTCTCAGAAAATTTGTTTCATTCCATGTCAGAAAGAGTCGTATACAAATTAAAACGATGTATTTACTTGGAACAATAACTTTATAATTTTGTATAACAATCCGATTTGTAGCTCAGATAAGGTTCCGAGTCTGCATGTGATGACGTGTTTGCGACGGGAGACCATGATGACGCTGTTGTAACAGTCAATGTTGACTCAATTTATTGGACCGCCGACTCCACACCCGATATTATTTTTTCATTCAATACGAATATTTACAAAAGTGCTTTTCATAATTATGAATATTCAATAGCTCTCCGCACGGCTCGCCGAGGCAACCCCCAATTATAGATCAAATAACAGATACGCCAGACTTACAGATCCTCCTTTTGATTATATTCATATTTTCAGATACTTCTCTTCGAAGTCACTGCAAGACCGACAGCGTATTGTGTGAATGTTCAATTATCATAATTTTAATGTTTAGCTCTTAGGTANTTTCATAATTATGAATATTCAATAGCTCTCCGCACGGCTCGCCGAGGCAACCCCCAATTATAGATCAAATAACAGATACGCCAGACTTACAGATCCTCCTTTTGATTATATTCATATTTTCAGATACTTCTCTTCGAAGTCACTGCAAGACCGACAGCGTATTGTGTGAATGTTCAATTATCATAATTTTAATGTTTAGCTCTTAGGTATTACTGGATCTGTAAATAGAGTGACATTTGCAAGGACCTAGTCGTTTTTAGATTCGACTGGTTTCTTTTTATTCAAATTTATTAAAAATATTGAGTTTCTAATATTTGTTTCATTTTGATCCGAGCCCCCACGTGATTGAAGTGTTGGCGGGCGGCGCGGCGCCTCGATACTGCGTGATGTGTCAGCTACACTCGCTGACATGCTGAACTGAATGCAACGAGATCGACACAAAATGACGCCTTAGAAAGCGATTTGAGCAAATGTTCATCTGTGGGCTGTTGTACTGGATTTAAAACAATACCTAGCTTTCGAAAAACAAAGCATTAAAAAGAAAAATAAGTGAAGTATGGCAAAAAGACTTACCAATTTTAAAACCTAGGTCTGTTAAAGGCCAGAGGGAGAAGGTCAAGAGCGGGCAGCCATCGGTCAACATAACATCAAGTACAATTCGTTCAAATGTATACATAGTTCCAGTGAGGCTACAGATCTCAACTGTTAAAGGAGAAGTGTTTTCCACTATGGGCTGATGGCCTGTCTCTGTTGACTACTCTTCATTCTACTTTTCCGGAGTTTGGGAACCGGTGATCCAATTCTCAATATATAGAATAATTTTACGGGAATAATATTGTGAGTAGGTTTTTATGTTTTTCAAGAAATATGTGCATGTGTTATTGCGGAAAGAACTTACGACTACGGAGACATCAACATTTATGATCCTTAAAACGCGGGATCTGCTGATTAGTTTGACTTGTGAGTCCGGACCTATGTGGGTGACGTAAACTGATAGCAGACACAGAGATAGCCCGAGGGGCGGTTGTGTTGGTCTCTGTAGTCATCAAGTAACCTGATGTCCATGTACCTTACATCGTGAATTCTTTCAAATTGTATGTACACTTAATGTACGATTTACTAGACTTTTCTTTCTAATGAATTTAACCTGAAAACGTTTATAATCGTTTCACTAGGAGGGAATCTATTCATTTGTAAATTCAATATCATACATTCTGAATGCCGCACGTGTAGGACCGCGAGGCACGTAGCTGGTATCTTTACTATGGCGTCTTCGCCATGATCCGATACGAATATTATAGGTACAACAAATGCTTGCAAAAGTAGATATCGGATCTTACCGGAAACCCAAACTGTGTGAAAGCCTTTAAAGAACCGGAGTACTCTTCAAAACTGACCAGCGTCGGATATCTACGAGGCAGGTCCCACACTCAAACATCTTCGTACTGAAATGATGATTTGAAACTATTGACTAATTAATGACTTATGAAATATACACCGGTTGCCTGTTTCGAATTCATTACAACAATTTGGCGCTCAAGGCGCGGCGGTATTATAATAAAATTAATTTAATCTAAGCCGTTTTACTGAGTTTTACATACCTAGTGGTAGAAATATCTAGAAATCATAGTTCTTAATTAAGTTGAGCATGCACGTGTTCGCCGCGGCCGCGTGTTACTTTCGCGTTCAGTGTCACGTGAAGTAGGTGTAATGACCACGGAAACTCAAGAATCGTCTATTGGGAATGACTTGACATTTACTACGAGAATAAGCCTTATATCAAATTTAACTATGTTTAGACATTTCTCTTTCTTCTTATGACATAGAGAGATACGAATATCCTGTTGATACACAGATTCTCCGTGCGGGTACCGGGTCCATCGTGTTACTGAGAGAGGAGTTTAAGAATAGCAGTGGACTTGCGACCCTGGTGTAGGTTTGAGGCGTAATTTACAAGTGAAAAGTTGAATTTCAAAAGTGTAATAACTGACGACAGCGTTCTAACGCGCGTTCGCTGCTCATAATGTATTAACGCTGTTGTTATCTGTCGGTGACGATTGCGTCTAAAAGATATTAATTTTTTTTTAGAAAATATTTCAATACTACTCTAAAGCTGACTACGCTATACTATAGTGCCATAAATAGTACAGCAGCCTATACTTAATCAATAATATAGTACAGTACAGTGTGAACGTGTCCATAACAATGTATGGTGCGCGATATTGTTGTGCTATGAGCTATATACTATATGCTATTATATTGCAGCGTAGTCTGAAAGCGGCTTAATGTCTTCTAGTTTAGATACGCCGGCACTCTGAGCAGCGATTGTTACAGCCATAAATAAAACAGTAGATCCGTCACTCGTTGGTCGACGTCGGCTTGGCTCTCGACCTGACTTCCTGAGTCTTCAGATACTTCGATGAATAAAATTTTCTAGCTGGATTGAATCACGTTACTGACTATTTGGGCTTTAGATCATTAAGTGAATTCTACATTGCTATCAATTACTATTAATTACAATGTCGTGGGACCCAGTAACATAGTTAATGAGTTGGGATCAGATGAGCTGAACGTAAGTTGGGTTTTGTAATTGCGTTTATGTTGATTAGGAGTGCGTTAAATGTAGAAAATACTTCACAGCAGCAATGCATACCCAGATCGATTCACTGTCCCCAAACTTCACAAAATATCTGGGATTTAATTTACTTTCGTAAGTAGCAAGCAAACAAAGGCTTTGATGAAATACGTCGCGCATAGCTCTGTCGTGTAATCTCTCCGTGGTGCGGCAATATCTCGCGCCCAGCGTCGCGCCGCTCTCTGCTATTGTTCGTGCTCCATTGTCCTCGACAACAGACAAAACATCTTCAGATCAGCAAATGTGAAGCAATGAATGTTATTCTGCCGTACTTGTTTAAGTGCCTTTCATTCTTTTCATATTTTTATTGTAAATTTAGGTACAGTTATTGCGTTTCAGACGAGATTCGTTTGTTCCTGGGAAGAAGCGAGTTATTATTATTATTATAGGTTTGAAACTGGACAAAAGGAATGTATTAGCAGCGATGATACAAATTGGGGCGAAACATTAGTTGAAGTCTTTAATATTAGCTTATTAGCTGTTGTTGCTTTATAGCTATGCTATATGCTACATAGATATACATGTCTATTGGTTATCGGGCTAATAAAAGTTGAGTGTTATTACAAATCTATCTCGTTCAAGCGTACTTTTTATTCTGTTAAGTATCAGGGATGTATCAATGTTTTTCTGAACAGAAATGTACACATACACTTTGATGTAATGTTCAGAAACGGTGATATAATTATTATAATTATCTGATAAAACTAATAAGGTTCCGATCTATTTTAAAGTCAGATATTTAGAAGTCACAATATTCAAAAACTAAATGGTAAAATATGTACACAATATCTTCAGCAATGTAAGCCATTAAAATATAATTATTATCAAGCACTAACTACTATCAGAAAATGTGTGTATCTTTTAGATGTTTGGACACATTTTTACTATCGGGTATAATAATAATAACACTTTATTTAACACCATATGTACAGAGTGAGCAAATAAAACAAATAATAGTCGGTGACATAAATGGCGGCCTTATCGCTGAAAGCGATCTCTTCCAGGCAACCTTGCAGGGAGAGGAATAAGTGAACTGGACGGTGCTATATCATAATAAACTTACATAAAAATATATATTATATACACATGTGAAAAATAAATACAATATAAGATAGACTTACGATTAAATACAAATAAATACTAAAAATATGCAGGTAAATACAAAATAAGTAGCAACTTGTACAGTTATATTGTAGGAGCTATATTATTGTGCAAGGTAGTGCGATTTTAATCTGAATTTGAAAATTTCTGGCAAGGACGATTGTTTGTGCTTAGGGGTAATGCATTCCATAACCGGACTGCTTCAACCGTAAAAGAATGGTCATAGAATGACATCCCGTGAGCCGGAAACTTCAGCATGAAGTTCTCCGATGACCTAAGTGAATGGCAATTTGCAGTATGTAGGAAATCAAAACGTTCCTGAAGGTAGCGCGGGGACGAGGAATTAAAGAGGACACTGTAAAGAAGAGACAATATATGAACATTCCGGCGATAACGAATAGGAAGCCACTTGAGCTTAACTCGATACTCAGAGACGTGGTCATATTTGCGTAAACCAAATATAAACCTTATGATGAAATTTTTATAATTTAAATATTAGTTTATAATAATTGTGAGGTCATTAATATTTAAAAAAACCTGTTATTTAGGGGCAGCGTAGCCTAAGGTTTTACAAGCTATAATTGACAAAACTGCACCCTGCTTTGCCGGAATGTTTAATGGTTGTATTTATTGTGGTGATTTCCCTTGAACTGAATGAAGTACGCAAAATTACTACATATCCTATAGCAAGTAGGTACTTTTGAAATTGGCGACTTCTCCTTATACCGGTTGAGTGCAGGCGGCAGTGGGTGCTCATATATGTACGTCACGCAGTACACCTGGTTCTGCAGGGTGCGCAACAAAATCGAGCGAGGCCGCGCCACATCTCTTTGCTTCAGCTAACTTGATACTTTCCCGCAGCACTTAGCGGTATGCACAATGCTGCCGATATCGGTTTTCATACTGCGGAAGAGTAATTCTTTTCGAGCTATTTATAACGTCCACCAGAGGATTATCTGAGGATCAAGCTTAGGAAAACAGTTCTGATTAGCGACCCAATATATTATGAATCACAGGGCGTACGTGCAACGCTGAGTAATTGCAACGACAAAAATGATGCGTGACTCATCCCCACTACCACCGGTTGGATGATAAAATGGTGAGCTGTGCCTTCCTCAGCTCAAGCGCACTGAGTTACTCGCCGGATCTTTTCAGTGGGTCGCGTTTCCAATCTGGTGGTAGATTCTGCGAAGCACTGCTCTTGCTAGGCCAGTGTTAGCAAAATTTCCGGTTTGAGGCCCGAGAGCTCACCTTCTCAAAGTGGCGCAATGATGCCGACTGTGGATACTTACTGATTGATTCAAGCTCCAGGTCATCATGGGGATCCACGCTCCTTAGGAACCATGGTGCTCCGACGGCTATCCTGCAAAAATGGGATTGAATAACATGAAGAGGTTTCAAGTTAGTGCGGGCCGCGTGAGCGAACACTACACTTGCATAGGTCATGTAGGGGCGTATGCAAGTTTTGTAGAGTGTCACCTTATTTCTAAGGGACAATTTACTTCGCTTGCAAA